AAAAAAAAAACGAAACTTTTAGAGAATCCGAGTTTTTGATAAAAAGGCTGAAATTTGAAAGGCAAAAGCGAAAAAATCTAATCCCTGTATAAAGGTCAACCAGTTTTATCCCAAGGAAATGATTTTTTGAGAAAATTCAGAGGGAGGAATGAGGACTTCAATGCTTTCGCTCTGCGGAAAATTAAATTCCTCATAAAATATTTTAACTTGTTCAAAAATCAAAAAAATTTCCGCGGAAATTAGCGAGAAAAATGGAAAAATCTAAAAAGAGCGGAAATCTGCGGAAGAATCTCATCACTGGTATTGCTATGAGGCATAATCAATATTTTTTTTATAAATTGTGACAAGGTGTTATATTTTTTGTTTCTCGTATAATCGGTTAAATTTTGAATTATGTTCCAGGCTACATCCACCCTTTCACATTTTACTACTTCATCAGAGAAATTTTCAATCTGAAACAATGAAAATTCAGTTTCTATGAGATCTCATTTTTCACTATTGTCTTCCCCAAAGAGAACAAGGAAATATTCAATTGATTTATCATTTCTTAAGCTGATATATGCAATTTCTGCATGTAGCAGCACTTCCTCAATGAGAGGATATTTTTTTAACAATATATGAATATGAGAGGGAATAAAAATTCCTTACTCTCATAGAAAGTGTCAATTTCTTTTTTCGACAGAGAAACATTTTTCAAAAATAGTTTTGCTTGACTACCAATGCGTAAATCCTCATTGCACTTTTGTTTTTTTTATTTTTAAATTCAATTTGAAATATGCTTTCTGCTTCTTTAACAGCAATAGGCTTTTTAAAACAGACTATCAGACACAACAACAAAGATATTATCTCTCTTTGGAGACAGTGTATCATTGGTGAATCTGTCTGCAGTTTTAAATTAGAATTGCAGAATATGGGCATAACATTCTACAAAAAAAGCAAGTTCAGTTTTGTTGTTCAATTTTCAAACATTTTTTTGATGCTTCTACATTTTAGAAAAAAATAATTTTCTTTTTCAAAAAAAAAAAATCTTTAATGACTCCCATGGCTCCAGTGTTCTATCAACAACAGCTAATAGAGACAGCCATCTAGTTTAAACAAACTTTAAAATTTCGTGATTATCTAGGCCGCACAGCTTTTAACACTCTTTTAACATCTCAAAACGTTTTGAACTTTTTTTCAAGAAATAAAAACTCTTCTAAGCTAACAGATATTCACGGAGAAGCTTTTTTAGCAGGCAAATTTATCAGGTAACAAGAACACCTACACATAATTAACTTTGAATTTTTTTCCAAAATAAACTTTAGAACACCTTTATTAGTTCAAATCATTAAAGATGCATTATCAGATGAAAAAGCTATGCAATTTTTCCATGGAATCGAAAATTTTTGAAGTTCTTCATCCAATACCCTAAACATATTTTTGCCCGTAGCATCACCATCTAACTTAGGCAAACTCAATAGACGGGTTGTAATTTTTCAAACTGATTCATCGAAAAAAGAAAAAAAACGATCACAATAGGCAAAATTTTTTCAGTATTTGTATTGCTACCATCTCAGTAGCCAGGGCAAATTTGGAAATTTTCGAGATTTCTTTTAGTTCACTGGTTGTAATTTCTTCCAGGCAATTGATAATTGCTCCCATCCTTATTTGAGCACAGCCATATTTTTCAGCTATTTCAGAATCTGGGAACATCTGAAATAGCGGTAAATTGTGTTCAAGTAAAAATGTTGTAAATAATGTTTCCACATAAATAACATTATTATCTGATTTTGTCACATTTGTAATTTTGTAACATTTTGCAGAAGCATTAGCATTATCGAAATGGCACTTGCATTCTACATGGTGCGTGCAATCGTAGAAGCCGCCATGTGCGATTGAAAAATCACGATCGCATAGCATGCATAAACATGTTTTTCTGATATTTTAGACCGTTTTAGAACTGGCCATTGTTTAGCATATTTCTCACGAAATGCTTGATTATGGATTTGATTTGGTGTGGCATCTTAAAAAATTAAATAATCTCTTAATTCTCAATCGAACGCAGGCCAGGAAAGACCGATCACAAAATGTAAACATCCACCGAACTCCACTACGTTGCCAGATCCATAAAAATAAGTTTTTAAAAAAACCGTGCTTATGGCTCATTTTCTCCCTACGTTAACATGTGCTATGATGTCATATCACGTGACTGTTGAGATTTTGGTGCTCTTGAAAGCTTCTTCACTCCACTGTCCCACTCGTTCGTGTGTGTTTTTCTATGTGAGAGGAACACCTACGTAGTTTGCTATTGAGAATGCTCTTTTCTTAAGTGAGGGAAGTTTTTTCAGGGTTTGAGAGCGTGTTAAAAAGCGGAGTATTTGGGGTTTGAGCGGAGATAACGTAGCAAATCAGAGAAATTCCGGTCGAACCGGAGCAGTTGGCATGTCTGAAATATGATTACAAATCTAAATATCTACATTACATATCTAAATGCATTAGTTAAGAAACAAAAATACAGTTTTACAAGACACTAGTGAGACCAATAGTTTTATATGGCAGGAAATGCAGGGCAATTAACAAAGCAGATGAAGAGAAATTGATGACTTTCGAGAGAAAAATATTAAGAAAACTTTCAGGTGCAGTAAGAGAAACTAGAACCTGGAGAATTCATTACAACCATGAATTACAATCAAAATACAAAGAACCTAAAATAGTAAAAATTATCAAGGTTTCTCAAATAAGGTGGATAGAACATGTACATATTTGGATATAGCAATGAAAATCCTGTTAAAAAAATAATGTTCCAAATACCAGTGGAAAATAGAAAAAAATCTAGAACAAGATGGTTAGATAGAGTATAGAGGTGGTTAAAGGACTTGGGAGTTAATAAATTTCTAAATATAGCATGAAATCAATTATAAATTTTTTACAATTTTTAATTAAGAAACTATCTTTTATCTGGAAAATTACTTTTGCTTATGTAAAACCTGTGTTACCACTTCTTCCTATAAAAAAAAAATTCTTTCTAACGGGTTAACATTTTAATCAATATATTTTGAAGGGGATATTCTAAGTAAGGTTTGAGGGACACACCACCCTGTTTGCCTTTTGATCCCAATTTTGTCTCTTTAAAAAATTTCTTTGAGATTTCTCTATAATCCACTGAGTATAATGATCGACTTTTGTCCGTAGTTAATCTTCTTGACAATTATTCATTATTTTTTTTACATTTCAATATGATTTTCGCAATACCGATATTTTTAATATATTATTACACAAATTATGAATGTGTTCAATTTGTGACAATTTTATTATAAATCAACAACATTTTAAAAGTTTTTGGCAGCTACTTTTAGTGTTCTGTCCATTTCCATGGAGTTTTTCAAATTACAATATTTTTTACACAATGCTATAAGGACGTTGTAACATTAATTTATTTTTTTTGTTGCTATTTTCAAAAAGTTATACAAAATTCTATATATTTATATGATGTTCTTTGAATAACCATTTTTAGATATGCTTATTTCACAATGATTCCATTGTCTATCCAAAGCATTTTTAAATCTTTTTTGGGCAGCTACTTATATTTTTTGCCTGTTTCGATGATCCCTTTAAGATGTGCTCAATTTGCAAAAATTTTTCTATTTCTAAGTGATTTCAATTACAATTTTTTTAAATTCTGGTATTTTTATATGATGACACTCTTGGAGTTATCTTTTCTTCTTTTTTTGTTGATATTTCTGCATAGTTATTCAAATTTTTATATTTTTATTATGATGTTATTAAAACATACAAACTTTGAATTAGAATAATCACTTTTTGATGTGTTTGATTCATGGTTTCATTGTAAATTCCCAATATTTTTCAATAATATTTAAAGCAAAAAACTATTTCTTATGGAAGTTATTTATACAAGGTTATTATGCAAGATATATTAATTTTTGTACATCTTAAACTATCACAATTGCCAATTTAATAGTAAATTAGGGGTCTAATTACATTCGAATTAGGATAGCTCATTCCCTTTTAAAAAAGCAATTGTTTTGGCACATCATCCTACGATTCAAAAAACATTATAGCAATATTATTGTTATACATTTTGAAAGAAAACCCCACAGTCTATACACAAACTTTCATTTTAAATTAATCTAAGAAATTAAAGAAAATAAAACAATATAAACACATTATAGCTTTTTATACCAGACTAAATTATAGCTTAGATGCCAATTCTTCCATTTTATAGATTTTATTTTTATAGGAAAAACGGAAAAAAAACTTATACTTTCCTCATTCTTGGGTAAATACATTTAATTTAAAATTAATTTAAATACCATTACATGTAGGTAAATAAAATAAAAAAATACATAAATGCACAATAATATATGATGCAGTGTTAAAACACTAGCAAAGTATAAAAATGTACATTTGCATACAATGGATTTTTCAATTCTCTTTTTCCTCTTATCTGGGAAAATCTTTCTCGGAAAGGCCAAAAGTTGACAGGCATAATATAAGTACAAATTATTTTAGATTTTTAAAAAGATTTCAGGATGTGAAATTCATGTAAGACAAAAAGTCTTGCTTCTCTAATGGTAAAAAGCAATCTATACTTTTCAGGATAAATTGTAATATATTTTTAAGCAAATGCTTGAGTTTTACAATTTATAATTATACAGATTTAATACTTAAAAACTTAATTTCAATTTTTTACTTTAGCAAAAGAATGGATTGAAAAATATAAATAGCCAAACCCTGCAATTTTAAAAAAATTTCTTCAAACTCTCTATGCTTTCAATGTTTAAAAACCTTGATTTAGCAATTTTCTTGTTGCTCTTTCCTTGAACTTGAGTTTTTTTTTCTCCATAAATACAGTATAAAATCTAAAAAAATATACAAATAATAAAATTACAGAAAATTTGGTGATCAGATTTAAATTGTGGGATTTAATGTTTGATAGAGATTCATCCGGAATGACTTAAATGAAGAAAGCAGAATTTCTTATCTTCCGTTCGGTCTGTCTTGTGTTTAAGAGCTGCAGCATATTAATGAATTATCAATTAAAAATTAGTTATTGAAATTTTAAAACCTTTTTAATTGTGTCATTATAATAAAAATAAATATCAATATTACTAAAAGCAATTTAAAATAATATGTAAAGGCTGTCCAGAAAATAATTTAAGTTTTGATAGAGCCTAGGTAGAGATGAGCTAGTGACGCCATGCTTCTTCCAGACCACCCATAACTCAAAATGCATCAGGCTTGTGGCCTTTTAAGCATTTTTTTGGTAAGTTTAAGAAATGCACATTGATAATGTTATCAATAATTGGGTTGTTACTAGCAACAAAAAATCAAAAACCCATCAGTAACTTTATAAAATTTCTGGAAATAAACAATTATCAAAAGTGATCACATAAATGTCTCCAAAGAATAGTGAAGTAGTTGACAGCACAGTAAGAGATAAGCTAATGACAATACAGTTCTTAAATAGTTGAATTTGTTAACCATTAGAACAGAAGTAACAGATAGTATAAAAACTTAGTGAGAAATAGCTTTTAAATGTATACAACTTATGTTTTCCTTCACTTATATTTATATTTCAAAACCTAAGATACTTTCTAAATAGCTCTGGCATATTGCATTACCAATAAGGAGTTCCAATAAAAGATTTTCTTTTACTAATAGTTGCAGTAATTTGGGCTGAAACACCAAAATCAGCTGAAAAATACAAATTGAGAAAAACTATTATACACATAATCTTTAGTACACTAACATATATACATATACAAAATTTTTGAAATTCTTTTATATTTTCATTTATAAAAAAAAACCAAATTCTTAAACATGTACTTCCATAACAAAATTGAAATAACTTACAAATAGAAATAAAACAAGAGGCATTTTAAAGAATCTGACATGCAAGGTTCATCACAAAAGAGTCTTGAGAGTCAGGTTTCATTGTTTATGTGATCGTAAGCATTTAGAATAAAAATATTCACAGACTATTTTAAACTAAAATTTTAAGCTTTAAAAAAAGATTTTATGCTATAAATGATAATTATAACTAGCGTATATTTAATATTTTTAAACTTTTATTAAAACTTCACATCCAAATATCACTAAATCACTCAAAATTATGTAACTCAATAAAACATAATTGAACATTATATTTCTATTGCATTGTACAGTATAGTTAATTGAACAAGAAAGTACTTTTTTTTTTTTTTTTGGTATTACAGTATGGGACCCCAAATCCAGAACTCTCGGGACCTCAGATATTCTGAATTTCAGGTCTGAGCGTAAAATAGCAAATATTTAACATAATATGAAATAAAAAATGTATGTAATAATTTTTTCAACTCAATAATACTCAATATTAAAGGAAAACATTTACCTAACTTGACATCTCCATTTTCAGTCAATAAAATATTAGCTCCTTTAATGTCTCTGTGCATTTTCCCCAAAGAATGAAGGTATGCTAGTCCATTAAGAGTTTCTTGGCAAACATAAGCTATTTGATGCTCTGTCAAAGGACCTGTCACTAATATGGAAAATAATAGTATTTAAAAGGTGAAAATGTTAGTTTTTAAATTCATTTATATTTAAAGTTTTTTCTTCATGCTATGGATGCAAAGGTTTTAATAGAAGAGAAGCCATTATTGTTCAACAGTGGCAACTAAAAAATTACAAAGTTGCAAAAGCTCACCTATACATTCCTTTAGTAGCATATTTTAAGTAAAAAAAAATTTAAGTAGCTGCCTTGTTGGATAATCAAGACTCTGTTACAATAGAATTCTGATTATCCAACATCCCTCAGAACTAAGAGCCGCATATTTCTAATAAGGTTGCTAACAATTCCATTCAAAACTTCTTTTAACTTGCATTAACTTATAATGAGCAACAAAAAAAATGATCGTAAGAAGACACTAAGTGAGATTTGTAAATGGTAAATAGCATAAATGTGAAAAACTGTGTAAGACTCTCAACTAATGTCATTACAAATCGCGATTATGAAATAGCCCAATTACAAAATTTGATAAATAAATAGCTATAGATAGTTATAGCTGATCTGTAAATTGCATACAAGCTCACAGCAAAATATCTTTGAAAAATCTTTATTTAAATAGATATCCTACATAGATATGCATTGTATACATATGTTAATTGCTTGCATGTTAAATGCTTGTATGCATAAAAATCACCCATTGAAGTATCTCTGACTATCTAAGAGTTTCAGTTTAATGATTTAGTTATACTTGAAAAGAGTGGTCCCTATGTAATCCACACTTATTAAAAATATTTAACTAGAATACATTTTTAGGGGGTACATTGCACACAAAAATTATATAAAATGCAGTTAAATAGTTTTATAATTCTAAATATTTAACGTAAGAAGTGCAAAATTGGTCATTATATACTGGTGAACAGATTTCTTTCCAATTTTGTGCCAATAACAATTTGTATGGCTTACATATAATGCTGTTAAAACTTCTATTAAAAATTATGGTTCGGATCAAAGCTATTAAGCTTGAGAAAAAAACCGCTAACTAATAATTTGATTTCTTAAAAAAATATATGTGTAAAAAATATTCGAATGTCAAGTAAATTTTATTTACATTCCTTTTCTTCTTTTGCTAATGCACTGTACAAAAGATATGACTAAAACTATAGAAGAATATCTTCCATATTGTCATTGAAATAAACAAAACAAAAAAAAGAAAGAAAAGTAACTTACAATGATACATGTCTTGCAAACTTCCTCCACCACAATATTCCATGCAAATCCAAAGTTTATCCCGCCTATGAAAATATTTTTAAAATATAGAACTCCCACTTAAATATAATAAAATTAAGGCAGCATTAACAGCAAATATCAAAGATTATAAAGTTCATCAAGAGCAGGATTTTTTAAAAGTTAGAAATTTCAAAGAGCTGTAATTGGCTGCATGGAGCCAGAAACATATTATGGAGTGGAAAGTAGTGAAACCCCTTGTTAATTTCACCAAAATACAATTACCTTGGATTTCCAAATGTAAGCTAAGAATTTTTAGAAAATTTTCAAAAGCTAAAGTTGGGGGTCGACTAATAATCAGATCCACTAACATTAAAAAGCCTGGAGCGTGAGAGAGAGGGAAACAAAGCTGATTGAGATGATGACACAGGGTTGCCACAGAAAAAAAATGAGCAAAATACTGGCTTCCAGAAGCCTAAAGCATGAAAATAGTTGCCTAAAATTATGAAAATAGTCGCCTAAATAAGAACAAAAATTTTTCAATAATATGACTAAAATTTTATTAAATGACTTCAGTGTAATATATCATGATCCATTTAGTCAAGCTGATGGACAATATGATAATTTTTAAATAAACGTTAGTGTTCTAGCACTAAATTTTCATTTAAAAAAATTAGTACATTTGCAGAAAATTAAATACTTTTAAATGCTAGAATTAACTCAGAAAAATAATTTTTTGTTAAAAAAAACATACTCTTTCGAAAAATTTTTTCCTTTTATCAATAATTGATTTAACAAATATATATATATACATAAATTGAAAAGTGATTACTAAAATTCGAAATTCAAGCATCATAATATCATATTAAAAATTAGGTTCTTTAAAATCATACAGAATTTTGTAGCCATAACTGTTGAAAAGGCGATTGTGAAACGAAATAGATTCACAATGGAATCTGTGCAAATTGAGAGCATTAAAAAGTGATGACTCAAATTTGCAACTCAATATTTTTTTTTTTTTTTTAAGAAAAAAAAAATCATTATGTTCAGAAGCTACTGCTCCGCAGGTTGTCAACCTAATTTATGCTAAAAAAACATCGCTAAGAGAACAGAGAAGTCTCCCAATAGTCTCCCTTTCCTGAAAATAGTTGCTTTTTTAGCCCTTTCAGGCAAAAAAAAGTTGCCATAATTGCCTCAGGTCGAAAATAGTTGCATTTTCGTCACCTGTGGCAGCTCTTTATGACCACAATCCACACAGCAGTCTCTTTCTTCAGTCCTTCATAATACGTTACTTTGGCTTTCTGCTAAGTTAAACTGATGACGTTAAGGTCATTCTAATGCTAAGTAAAAAGCCTGGAGGATGAAAGGGTGAAACAAAACTGGTTGATGATAGGACACCAAACAACATTGTTTGTCTGAAATGTGTGTGGCGTAGAAAGTGGACACATTTTTATTTCTAAATGTAGCGTACTTTTTTTTACTTCAGTTTATATTTTTTTTTACTTCAGTTTTCAGTGAATTTCTAAATCACAAGTGGCTCATACATGGATGGGCTTATATTCGGAAATGTATGGCACAATTTTCATATTATCTAAAAATAAATAAGTGCTATGTTATGTATTATGTTACATAATTTTAATGCCTAAACAAATAAATACACAGAAAATCTCAGTTTATACCTCCATCAATAGCAAATAAGTTTTCAGATTTATCAGACACTTAAAGATATAATCAAAAGTTTGCTGTAATTCTTCACTACAAGTCTGTTATTCAGCTTGTAGTAAATTTAAATTAACTGTGCTATTTCTCAGGAAAATATTTGGAGAAAAAAAACACTATGATATGCTGTAAAGGAATTTTAAGATTTAGAATAGGATATATAGGATTTTTAGAACCAATTATGAGCTTGAAAAATATTAGAAAAACAAGCCTACCAATATTTAAGGTAGTTGGATGAATCTAAAGTTGAAAGACACAAGTGATGATCAATTTTACTTATTTAACCATCATCCTGATTAAATTTAGTGAAGATCATTGTAACAATAAAATGCATCTTTTTCAATGCAGAAATTTGGAATTTCACATTTTTATTTTTTGCTCCATAAACCGCCTTAAAGTTCAGAGAAGAACTCATAGTTGCATTTAACAAAAAGTTCAGAAGTTGGTGGAGTTCACATCTATATTTACAATAGACTCTAGATTAAATATGATTTAACACTTGCTTAACTAGTATGGAATTCGAAATATATATAATGAAATTAGCAATGCTTCTTTCAAATGAATATAGTAAGGGATTTTACGTGTACTAAAACTACTGCACAGTATGCAAGCTAATATTACTAGAACTGTATTGTGCAAAAAAAAATAGAAGCATGACATTCGTATACCACAAACTTTCTAACGTGAGAGGGAAACTATAATTTGTAAAGGTATGTCATTCAATAAAATCCTTCTAATTTAGAAAATAAATAACATCAAATGTGTTATAATTAGAACCAGTTCATATTTCTTCCATCTAAGGTTGGCAAGTTTCTGCCGAGGTGGTTAAAACCACTGGTAGAAACCGATTATAACCGGCACGGCAAAAACCCTTTTCTGCCACTTTTGTAGCAGAAACTGACAGAAATTCAGAAAATGACATAAAGTAAGTACTGAGATTTACATACAATGGATAATTCATAGGAAAAACAATTAAATGTTAAGCAAAGTACAATTTATTTACAAAATTATCACCATTCAAAATCAAATATTACATTGTTTGCACTCTGCTGTTATCTATAACAAAAGACAAGTTTTGATGCAGTTTCTGAACCTAAGCAGTTTCTCAATTTGCTATGCACGAACAAAAAATTTGCGAAGATTCTCTCAAGTCCAGCAGAACTAGCAGGCATTGCCATCAAGGAACAAGCAAGATTTGTGAAACTTTCATCTATTGTATATTTTTTTAAATTGAACCACCATGTAGCAGCAGGAGTAGTTGTTAAAACTTGACTGGAAAAATAAGTTTCAGAAAATGGGGCCGATTTGTTTCGCAAAGCTATGACATAAGGTACAAAATCTGGGTTAATATTGGCGAGTAAAATTCTGGCACTTTCTTCTTGAGCACATGATAATTTCAATCCCAAATACTTTGGATGCTAGCAAATGATAATCAGTAACTGCATGTCTAAATCTGTATGTAAACAAAATGTCATTAAGCAATTACTAGAACTAATATAGACGTTTTTTTAGTTTCTGCCAGTTTTTATGGGGTATAACCAGTTTCTGCTACTGGCATGGCAAAAACCAGTTTCTGCCGGCAAAAAACTAACCCTGCTTCCATCGGTAGTGGAGTGCGGTCAGTGAGGATATGTACAACTAAGCCCCACCACCCATACATGAGAGCGTTACTTTTAAAAAGTAACGAGTAAAAGTACAAGTACTTTAAGCAAGAGTAACGAGTAAAAAGATTTCATTTTAAAAAGTAACAAGTTAAAAATACAAGTACAAAACAAAAAAAGTAACGATTTTAAAGTACATTTCTCGAAAAACAAAACAATTTAAGTTAAATTAAATTTCATTGAAAAATGTAAGAAAAATTCATTTAAAATGCAAGAAAATGTTACAAAATTCATTAAAATAGTGAACATCAAACCAGAAATCAAATTTCAATGTCTGCATATAAAAAGGCGTTTTAAATAAAATAATTAACTTAAATTGTGACTAGTTATGTTAAATTTTATTAAAACTGTTATATTCTTAGAAACTTTATTTTTGCTTTCGTAATTTGCAGCAATAAATTAATAAGTTGAACAAATTTGATAGCATTATAATTTTCGTTTAAAGAAATAAGTAAAAAAAAAAAATTTGTACTCTCATACAGGTAACCCCTTGAAGTCCATTAAAGTAAAAATTATATTTCCTTTTTATAAAAGTTCAAAAAAAGTTTTTAACAATTAAAAATTGAGCTCAAAAGTTGTACTTTTAAATGTATTCATTTGATGAACTAAATGTTTTTATAGTAACATTCAATAAAAGGGAAAAAGTAAATTTTGTTCAAAATCAGGGAAATAATAATAAGGGAATGATCAGGGAAACTTTAATGATAAACATATTTTAAATAAAGTATAATTTTATATCAAAAAAATTCCATTTTTGTGCAAAAAGTGTTTGGTTTAGTAACATCAAATAAACTATTGAAATTATTTGGAAAAACATATAGTTGACAAAAATGTTGCTTGTCAAAATTAAATAAATGGATTCAGGCATTTTTGAAAATGAAAATAATTTGATTAATTTTACATACAGTTTTTTAAAAAGATAATGTCTGCAAAGTACTTTACTCCTGTTCTTCGTCTCAAACCAAACTAAATTATAAAATGTGAACAAAAAATCTTAATCTATGCTTATTGGCTAAAGGCATTATGCATAAGAAGGAAAAAAAGCTTATTTTTTAAATCGATGGAGAAGTTAAAATACATCAAATTTGCTACTTAAACAAAACTATTTTCAAAAGGGAAAAAAAAGCTGCACGCCTACCAAAAGAAAAGTGATACTGCTACCGATCCAAAATCATAAGACTCTCAATAGTTCACTTCCTCTTTCCCTACTAGCCGGCTACTACTACTAAGAATATTTCCAGGAGCGTTTGTGGAAGCAAGCTGCCAAAACCCACAAACTCAGATATAACTCATACAGGACAATAGAGGTGTTTTAAGGGGAAACAATGCTTGTGAAAATCTCAAATTATCACAGGGTAATTTAATTTTGCACCTTAAAAACCTTCAGCAAATTTTTGAGGAAGTATTCAAAGTGTGAAATGCGACTGCATATAGAAGTGTACAATATATGATGCCTCAGAGAAAGAACTTGTCCAATAAAAGTTATTCAAGAAGTCCACTTTAGCTGCATATACACATTAGCCCCTTTCGCCTTATTTACCTTAAATAACTGCCATAATATGCTACAATGTTTGGATGGCGACAGCCCTTCATCATGAGAATCTCTTGCTGAATGATGGCAAAGTCATCACCTACAATTGAAAAAAAAGGGTTTAAAACTATAATGTAAGTAACCATAGTACAAACAAAAAATAAATTTTTAAAAATTACCAAAAAACAAAATGATTATTAAGTAACATATGCCTTAATACTAAAAACTTCACTACCACATTTATTAAAAAAAATTTTATATATACATTGTTTTTTATACAAAAAAGTTGGAGCAAATTATATGCTTTCTAAAAAAATATAATTTAATAAATTTAATGTGAATTTTTTTCAAAAAAAATTATTGTTAAAAAAAATTATTAGTAAAAGCATTTAAATCCTGCTTATTTTTTATAATTTGCATATTCTTTACAAACATTGTTACAATTGCAATCATGCTACTATCAGCAACAAAGTAGATCATAAACGTTTAGTTAGAACCTATTAAGTAAATCTTTGACTTTAAATATTCTTATTTCTTTTACTTTTTTAATCTTTTTTTCCTTATACTCCTTTTATTCAATTACATTATCACGCAAAACTTAAAATTATTTTGAATCTGTAGGTATCACATGCGTATAATTAAAGTAACCATAAAGTTAGATGCCAGATCTCTATTTAAACTTATTTTTTAGATTGTTTTTTAAATGGCAAGAAATTGACAAAAGCATTGTTAAAAATCATTTTACAAAATTTTATCTTTTTTTAAAAAAGAAAGAATTAATTCACATAACAGATTTTCACATGAATAACAGATTTAATTTATATACCTGGTTCAAGTTTGATGACTTTGACGGCAACCAACTCCCCAGATGTAATTTTACGAGCCTACAATACAAATATACAGACTTCCATTAAAGAAAGATAAGGAAAAAATAAGGAAGTTTCTTAAGGGTCATTTCCCTGTAATAATTATAAGCCTAAAAATTTATGACTAATAATCCTAATTTTATTTATTTTAACTAGTTTAGTGAAATATGAAACATCAGGATTATTAAACTTATTTAACAAACAGTGGTAGTTTAAATTTTATGAAGGAAACAAATAATATTTATATTATAAATATTTAAATTTTTCCTACAATTCTTTGGAAGACTTAGTGAACTAGTTTATTAAAAGGATATTCTGGGATAGGATATTTCGGCAAAATTAAAGCCTTTTATTACTGAATCTAGAATAAGGAAATCATGTGATATCATTAATATTTGACAAAACAACGTTTTGATCAAAGTATGTTAAAAACAAACATAAAAATCTGCAGATTCTTTTCCATACATAGGAAGAAAAAAAAGAATTCTTTCCTTCCCTACCCATTCTTGACCTAAAGATAAAAAATAAACAATTTAGCCCTGTGGCAGAATTTGTTTGGGCTTTCTGCGACAAATCTCTCTAGCACTAATATCTTTCTGCAAGATATTTTTAATAATAAATAATATAATATGTTATTTACTGTTATCAAATATATATATGTAAGATACTTTTAATAATAACTAATATATATGTTATTAATTAAATTTAAAGTAACAAACATTGTATTCACAAAGAAAAGCATATTTGGATATAATAAAATTGTATGTATTTTTTTTAAAATGATTATGTAATATATTTTTTTATTCTAATCATCTCGGGCGATATTGTCACATTTTGTGAGAGGAAAACACACTAATTATTTCGTTTTTTTGCCTTTCGTAAATCATCATCACGTAAAAAAATAATTAAAAATCGTAAAATCCGTGAAAGAGAAGAAAACTGAAATGAAAAAAACACGTTAAAACTAATCATTCACGCTAAAATTAATCATTTCTTCCCCTCTGGAAGGGAAAAAAATTTCTGCAGAAAAGAAATTTTTGCTTCAATATTCTTTATTTTTCATTTTTCTCAACTAAGAATCAAAAAATTACGAACATTTCTTTCCCCTCCGATGCACGAAAAAGGCACCCTTTAAATATAATTTTAAAGAAAAAAAAATTTTCGAACATTTTTGTAGAAAGAAAACCAAAATTTATTACTTTCTAAAGAAAAATTCTTTCAGTGAGAACTCTGTAACCTTCTGCAACATTGTCGCCATGTCACCACAATTCTGCCACAGGGCAATTTAGTAAACTTATGTATAGCAAACAGGCTTTTTGACAATCAGTTTTCTTTTATTTGATTATATTCATAATGTATTCCACTGAATCAGGATCAAACTGCATAGATTATGCATAAAAATAAAAAAGCTCATTGCAACCTAAATTGTTAGCAATTTTTTTCTACTCAGCTTGCTTAAAATAACACCAGTGAAAAAACTATAACTTATTTATATCTGGCTTATAATTGACCAGTAAAAAACTAGTAAAAACAGAAAAAAATAAAAACCAGGTATCAGTTTAGAATTCTGGAGTATAGCTGAGTACTCTGCTCCTGGGGATTATATCAGAAGACTGGCCCGCCAAATAGGGGTTGGGCGTAGGACTAACAACCCTACACCGCAAAAAAAAAAAAAAAAAAACACTGTTACGAAATCTCAAGAAGAAATATACCCCAAGCTGACTACAAGGAGACGATTAAGTAAAGACTTTAAGGACTTGAGAATTGGATCATGAAACATTCGTTCTTGATATAGGAATAAAGGACTGCAACTGCTAATTGAGAAAGTTCTCCCTAGAAATAAAAAAGGGCATGGCACTGCCTCTCAAAAAAGGGCAATACAAGTTTTGAGAGGGCGCTCATTCAAGACCATAAAATTTATCAAAATGTGTAATATTATGCAATAACTAAATTTGATCTTCAACAACTTTTAAATTACCCTCTTATACTACTTTATGCATATATTTCAAAAAATGATTCTCTCCCTTTATCAGAATAAGAGAGAAATTTGTAGTTTATAAAAACAATTAAAGTCACGCCAATATATAATCTCTGGGCATAATTTTCTTTTTTTAAAAATGTCAACTAAAAAAAATTATTAGTTGATAAACAACTTGAAAGGTTTTGATATAATTTAACCTGAAAATTATGAGAAAATGAACATTTAAAGTTGCATTTTTCTTTTAAAAAAAAAGCTATTTATTATAAAATTTAAAACCACTAAAAAATGTATTAATATCCCCTATGAAAAAAAGAGATACTAATGAAAATTTAACAAGTTGAGAATAATCCTAAGAAAGTAAATACTTGTTGTAGTAATCAGAATTAAACTTATAAACACAAATAATTTTACTAGTCTGTGAATATTATTTAAACAGTGAATTAGTTTTTTTTAAAAAATGGAATATGAATAAAAAGGCAGTGTTTTTATGGGATGGGTAGCGTATTTAAAGAAAAGGACAAAAAAGGCCCATTCATAGAGATCAAAGAGCAGACAGGATGAAACGCCCTTCTAAAAATGCTTAAAAAGAACACTTCTAATAAAGCAGATTGATTATTATAGAATTGATATACTAGCTATGCAAGAGATCAGATTGATAGGAGAAAGGAATAATTGAAAAGAAAAACCATGTGATTGTCTCAGGGTTGGGTTTTTGACGTCAAAAAGTGGTTTTTGACATGACAAGGGTATAATAATGGTTTAAACCGTCAAAAATGTCAAAAACTGAAGTTTGCCAAGAAAATATATAAACTTCAAAACTACCAACAGTTGCCATGCATTATATTGAAATTTAATTATACTATAGGTAATCAGCAGGTTTTAAAATATTTTTTAATTAAAATTAAGGTAAAATAACAGATTTAAAATCTCAGAAATTTATATTCAAATGCATGTGCAGAAAAATTTTGCACAAAAATTGTTTAAATATTTATATTTAAAAAAAAAATTTTTTTTTTGATACTTAAGAAAATTAAAAGTTTATTACTATGCATTTTTGACATATAAGGAACATATAACTAATATTTATAAGGAACTTACAAGTTATGTTGTATAAATACAAACTTGATACAAGTGTATGAAAAAAAATTTTAATGTTATACCGAATATCTTTATTATCCAGTATGTTAATTTGAATTTAAAAGTAGTTATATTTATGAATAATGATAAATATAATTCATATTGTTTATTATATTTATTTATAATTATTACACTTATCATTTTAAAACAATTTTTATCTCTTAATTTTTTTTTCTCCACTTGTATTAAGAATACAAATAATGCATATCTTGAAAGCAAGAAGTAATTATTCAACAGCTGAATATTTAGATATTCAACAAAACTATATAGTATTCAGCAAAATGAAATTCACAAGTATTTGGATAAACTAAATTTTCAGCATAGTAAATGAATAGGCTGAATATACTGTAAATCGACACTAACTACTCTGTGTATTTAACAGAAAGCACTTAAATTTGTATTGTCTTATGTTAAAAAGATTATTAAGAAGATTTAAAAGAATATTAAAAAGATTTTTCTTTAAAAGAAGATGTCTAATGTACAAAACTGCTAATGTTTATCTTTAAAAATGTCTAATTTTTAGTATAATCTATACTATACACTAAATTTGGTTATAAATAAATTTCTTAATAATATCACTGCAGATTTTCAATAACACATGAAAATGAATACATAATATTACAAAAGATGTGAGTTTTCAAAAGTACAAGATTTTGGTTACTATTCAAAATATAAGTGTTTCTTCAAAATTTTAAATTTATTTTTTCTAGAACATATTTAGAAACACTATCCTTTATAAAAAATATATAAATTTTATGTATTAATTAAATTTCACATATGAATATAGGTTTTTGACATTTTCAACATTTTTGACAGTGAGGTTTTTGACGTGACGGTTTAAACCATGGTTTAAACTGTCAAAAATTGTCACATGTCAAAAACCTGCAAACCCTGGATTGTCTATAGCTGTGATAAAAACAGGCACATATTTGATACTGGCTTTATACTGAGTAAACGAATAAGAACTTTTCTAATTGACTTTGTAACAAAGTCACCAAGGTTGTGTAAAATTAGGATAAAAGGAATCATCTTTAATTATAGTTTTAATAACTTACATGCTCCAATGGTGGTAGATACAGTGTTTTCTTTACAGAAAAAAAATGGGAGAGAATTTCTCACCCTTTCTCAAAAACAGGGTGAGATTTCAAAAAGTTAAGTGAGATTTCTAAAAATTAAAAAAACACGAATAGACTTGGAAAAAAATATTTCTTTAATTATAATACATTTTTAACATCTTATTTTTAAAGCATTGAATATTTTTGCTGCATTATCATATGGAAAAGGTTCTATATCTACTTTTTCATCAGCTATTCTCATTAGGTTGCTCAAATGCTTATCAGTGAATCTGTTATGATATTTCGTCTCAATACCGTTTTGGGTGCTAAATGACCTTGCAACAGATGCTAAACTATTCGGAATCACTAAGTAAATTTGTAGCATTGTGCACACACTTTCCTATCCTCCACATCTGCCAACATAGGCTTTTCAGTTATTTCTGCTATAGAATAATGAAGTTATTTCCATGTTCATACTTCATGCTAGATCTTCCAACATAGTTTTCACAGCCTTCAACTTTTACAAATTGCTGTAAATTGTCGATGAGGGAGTTTGGTAATTCGTTCACAGCTAAAAATAGAGCTGATTTTAAATAACTTATTATGAAGGACTCATTTTTCTTCTCAACTGAATTTTTATTTATCTAAAAAATATCCGTATTTGTTTCGCTTTGATCGCTTCTATCGACATTTGTTTCATTTTCATTTGTCCGTTACAGAGTAGAAAATGTTGACTTAACAAGGTATTACACAAAAAATTTAAACGTCTTATATGAACCTTACCTACGGTGAACACGTGATTGTAGACAAATGTGTTTTGAAAAGGGTTCCGTGATTCGGGGGGGGGGATGTTCCGCTGTTCGCACCAGTTCCGAATATGAACAATACTGATAAATAGGAAAGCTAGATAAGAAGGACCAATGTTGAAAATAATGAAAGATCAAGGAAGAAAAGTGAAATGGATTTTATTTAAAATGGCAGAAGTTGATATTTTTTTCCAAAATTCACGAGATTTGCCATTTTGAAATTGATTAATAGAGTGCAAGAACTTCTCGCATTAATTACTTTTTAATGCGAGAAAAGAAAAAAATTTGCGAGATTATCGCGTTCTCGCGCTGTAGTCAAAACACTGTAGATAGGTAGGTACTTTATTTACGTAACACTAGAGCTACACAATGGGCTATTCTAATGGAGGACAACGATAGTTGGGTAAAGGAGCTCCTCTATGAGGAAATACAAGCACTGTATGCATCTTGCCCAAAAAACAATGTCAAAATCATGGTGGGCAATGCAAATGCAAAAATTGGTAAGGAAAAGGAATTTAGACCAATTATCGGTATCTGTAGCCTTCATGACATATCAAACGACAATGGAGTGTGACTTACTGATTTTGCAGCAGGCATTCATATGGCTATATCAAGCACAATGTTTCAGCATAAAAGACTTCATAAAATGACTTGGAGTTTACCTGATGGAGGCACTTACAATCAAATTGATCATTTCTTAATTGATTCAAGACACAAGGCATACATACTGGATGTAAGAACTTATCGTGGTGCTCACCTGGATTCCGACCATTTTCTGGTCAAAGCAAGACTTTTAAATTCTCACAGGACTGGCGGTGAATGTCTGAAAAAATATTATTGTGGCTGGCTAAAGAGTGAGACGATTAAGATAAAATTTTAGAAAGAGCTAGAATATATTAATGATGATATTATTGATGAAGAGAGTATAAATGGAATACATTGAGGAAAACAATCATTCAAGTTGGTAAAAAGTTGTGGAAATCGTTAAGAAAACACAAAGGAAGGACTGGTTTGATAATGATTGTTTACGTCTACAAAAAGAAAAAAAATGAGGCATATGACAAAATGCTGAGCAAGATGTAAGAGACATTCAAGAAATTCAGTGATAGCATACTAAGATGAAAGAAGAATTCTCAAAACAAAAAAATATAAATTTTTCGAGGATCTCTTTAAAAATTTTGAACATTTGAGAGATACTAAAGAAAACAGAGCTTTCTTTCAGAAAATCATCCACAGGTGTAAAGAATTAAAACCAAGAATTACCTCATGTCGTAATAAGGAAGGAGTAATTTTGAGTGATAGAAGAGGTGTTAGAGATGGAATGAACATTTTGATTGTCGACTGAGAAGAGACAACAATGAATGTGAGATACATACAGAAAACATGCTAACTTTCAGCCAAAATATGACTGAACCACCATCATTGGAAGAAGTAGCTGAATGTGTTAATAAACTTAAAGACAATAAAGCACCTGGTCCTGATGCTATTCCATCCGAATTGCTGAAAAATGATGGAATTGAAGTTACTAAGTACATACATAACTTAATAAAACTAATTTGGGATCAGGAAATAATCCCTGGGGAATGGAAAATGAGTGTAACCTGTGTAATACACAGGAAAAGTGATCTACTTGAATGCTCTAACTATAGAGGTATTAGCTCGCTTTGTACTAGTCATAAAATATTTTCAAATATTAGATTCAACAAACTTTCTCCATTTGTGGAAAAACTAGTTGGAGACTATTAAGGTGGATTTAGGAAAGGAAGAACCACCACTGACAAATATTTAACACTCGACAGATTCTGGAGAAGACGAAAGAATTTTGAATAGATACACATCATCTTTCCCTTGATTTTAAAGCTGCCTACAATAGCATCAATAGAAAAGCGGTCGTTGCAGCTTTGAGCAAATTAAAAGTGTCTAAAAAGTTATTTAGGTTGATTTGCTTAACACTAAATGAACTAAAATTAGAGTCAAAATACAGAATAATCTGTCAAACCCAATGGCATTAAATAATGGTCTGTGACAGGAGAGTGCATTGGCATGCCTACTCTTCAATTTAGCACTAGAAAAATGGATAAGAAATTCCAACATTAACACCAGGGAAAATATTTTTAATAATTCTGTACAAGTGTTGGCCTTTTATGATGACATAGACATTATTGCTAGAGCACCTATAGCACTAAGACAGGCTTCTATTTTTTTAGAGGAAGCAGCTCTCAAGATGGGCTCGAGAATAAATGAGAACAAAACTAAATATTTATCCAGTACTAAAACAATCTTCAATAACATCCACTTTGAGATTGAAAAATATAAATTTGAGGTTGTTGACAATTTTGTTTACTTAGGTTCTGTAATCAATAACAAGAACAATATTACAATGGAAATACAAAAGAGAATCACTCTATAGCCAATAGATGTTTCAATGGAATTTAAAAATACATAAAATCTAATGAAATTCATAGAAAAACAAAAGCTTTATTCTATAAATCTCTTTTGATCAATTTTAACATATGCTTGTAAAACCTGGACCATATCTTGTATGGATGAGGTTATGTTGGGCCCCTTTGAGAGAAAGGTCTTGAGAAGTATTTTCGGAGGAATTCAAAAAAATGGTGGTGGTTAAGAAGAACTAATTTAGAGCTTTATCACTCATATATTGAACCTGGCATTATTAACTCAATTAAATGACAAAGAATAAATGAGTTTTTAATGTCAGACCAATTGGCACATTAAAAAAATGCAGGCCGTATTTAAGATGGATAGATGGCCTAGAAAAAGACCTTTTGGTCTTAAAAGTTAAAAACTGGAAAATGTAAGAAGGAAAAAGGTTGGCCTGGAATCTTGAGAAGGCCAAGGTCCACCTCGGGCTGTCGAGACATTGATGATGATTATTAGTTTAGAATTACCTAAATGCATAGATTACGCATTAAGTTATAACTGATTTTTTTTATTCATATACCAATTTATCTACTTAATATATTAACATTCTAAAGAATTAATCTGTGGGGAGAGTGGTTACAGACCATGTCAACCCTCATCTATGAAAAGGTACCCCAACATAGAGTCGAGTTAACATGTCTTATATACTAGTGAATTGTAGTTGTAANATATAAGATCAAAACACATAAAGTGAAACTAAATTTAAAATGAGCAAAACTAAATATTTTTTTTTAAAAAAATGCTAGATAAAAATGTCTTTATCAACTAGTTACGTAATTACCTAGTAACTAAGTAATATCTTAGTATTAGACAATAATCTCCTAAAATTGACAATGTTTCTTACATTTATAAAATACCAATTTGTAATTATAGAAGAAAAAAAAAAATGCATGAAAATTTTTACTTAATGAGATAAAAGTTAGGAGAAACAATTGCAATGCAACTTAAGCATTTTTCCAGCCAAACTTTGTGCTATAAGGTATTAATTCTTAATGAAATGCCCCCAAAAAATTTCTTTTAATTTTTTTAACATTTATACATTATCTCTCACTGTTTATTTATGAAAACAAACTTTGAAATAATCTCTTATATGACATAGCTTTGAATAAGGACTCAACTGAAATAAGCAAAGACATAGTAACACACATTAGAAATGTGTTCTTGATTGATTTTTTAACAGCATATGTATCAAAATTATTTTGCCTATAATTTTTTTCTCATAGCTATAATTATAAAAAAAAGACCCTGGTTGAGCAAACTGGAATTGGCAAGGAACTATAAGCTTTTAGAGACTGATGAAGTATCCAATATTGAAGTTTTCAAAAATGAAAGAGAAAAAAAAATTCAAATCATATTTTTTTGAAAATACAATAATATTTTTGAAGACTATATTTCTAATAACACTTACAATGTCAAATATAAAGATTAAATTCATTGAAAGAAAAAAAAAGTATAATTATACGAGAAACAATACATTAAAAACTATACACAATTCAAAAACTCCAATTGGCATTTTTATGATACTGTCATTGTAAAACTATAAAATTGCATACATACGACAAATCTTAAAACAATTCTTTACAATGAATGATTAAGCAATATTTACGAGTCCTTGATAAATAATATTTATATTAAATTTATTCTCCATGAAGTAAAAAAGCTAATATTAATATGAAGATTTTAATCAATCATATTACCTTATAGACATCACCATAGGTACCATTACCAATGCGTTGAATGAGATCATATTCATCTTGTGGGTTGCGCCTGGATATTTCTAATCCAGTAGCTCCTGCCATCTCGATACACCATCAGAAATTAAATTTTTCTGAATTAGTAGCTCATTATAAAAGAAATAAATTCCAAATTTTAAAAAACTTATTTTTTTTTTAAGTTACTGAAGCTTATTTGATATTATGATGAAAACTGGCTCCAAGAACAAAAGATAACAAAGTATCTCGAATACAGTAGTTGATGAAATCTGAAAACACAAGAATTTAAAAAACACCTTTATTTTTAATTTCTTAGAGAATAAATAGACATGCCAACGAAATTCACAGCATTTTCAAACTGCTTTACATCATCTATTTATTTACATTCGACACGATCATAATACTAATCAAATTGATTTATTGATATCAAATAAAGTGAAGCACATTTAAATTTTGAGTTTAGCTTTGTGCTTTGTTCGCCTAAAACAGGATGTTGAAAAAGAACAAAAACTCAAACACTGTTTTAAACGCGTTGGACGGATTATTCTCTTTGTATTGTTAACAGTTCGTTTGAATAGCAATCAAAATTTTAGTTGTACAGTCCCTCGAAAAAAAATCCAAGTACCGTGACATCTTCAAAAAATTTCACACAGAACGACCTGCTGGTCCAAGGAGTGTTTGATCCTTGGAAAATTCTCACTGCACTCAAATGACCCATGCTTATCCACACGACTCATTGCATCGCATCCGCGGGGGATAAAACAATGGTTTGAAACCCCAAACTGCTGTACCAAAATTTTTTATCCGTTCTCCCAATGAATTTTTCCTATCTCGGCAATACAAGAGTTGTAGTGCCGGGATAGCCTGGTTCGTAGGGCACTGGGCCCATGTCTAAGAGGTCGCGGGTTCGATCCCTGCCGGCCGAAGACTCTCCGTGTAGTAAATGGTGACTGATGCCCTTGGTTCAAAATTACAAGGCTACAGAATTTAACATTAGTAGTCGTAAACCCAAAAATTGGGTCGGCTGTTCAACGACGGTTATAAAAAAATAGAAGTGTTGTAAAATGATAAAGTGTCAGAGTCATTTACAAACAAATATCGTAGTGTCAAACTTGGCAATACAAGTCATAGTGTCATTCTTGGCAATACAAGTGTTGTAAAAAAAATGGGGGAAGGCCTCAAATTACCTAAATAACAATATTTTTTAAAAAAGATTTAAAAATCATTTAGTTTTCCTTTAAGGAGGAAAGGTTGGAAATTGCAATATTTTTACGTCATTGAAAAAACGCTTTTACTGCAAACCTTTTCGTGACAATGAAAATAAAGTTAAAACACAAGGTTGTCCTAAGGTTACTTGCTTTCTGGGAATGAAGTCTTATAAATAATGTCTTGTTTGTTTATAAGATTGTGAACTTTGAAATTCATATTTATGTATGTTATTGAGTAACAGGAAGAATGATTTTAATAATTTGCTTTTATATCTTTTCCATCTTAATTTTTTTTTTAAAAAATACGATTTAACAAAAACTTGTAGACAATTTCAAATGTAGCTCCGCAACATTGCGCAATTTTTTTAATTATTGAACGATTTCTGCTCTAGAATATTATACTAATAATTTTCTCTCTTAATACAAATCTGAGTACCGCGTTATCTTACTTTTTTTTTTTTGTCGAATGCCTGTTTAGGCAGTGAGGGTGCGATTGCTCCTGTTTTTCAGTGGTGCCATCTACGGCCGGGAATTCGACTTCTGCCCCGCCATTCTCACAACCACAACCCGTTTATAGGGCGGGTCACATTAACACACAAAGGGGAAAGGACATAGAACACAGAGAGACAGAAAGAAACATTCATGCCTTGCCCGGGATTCGAACCCGGGACCTTTCTGATGCAAGGACAGTTCCTTGCCCCCTACACGGACCGGTCGGCGCGTTATCTTATGGTTTACTAATAACACTTCCGAGGATGACGTCACAAACCTACTCAGAGGCCTCGATCTTCTCCTTTGTTGTTGCTGTTCCTTTACGTCGCACTAGAGCCCTGACGATGATCCGAACCTTGGCGAACAAAGAACACGGGGCGCGCTCAAAAGAGCAGAAAATCAGGGTCATGAATCGTGGTTGCCGGGAGAAAAGTGTTGCACCAAGCAGACTCCTCAATTCTGCTTTTAACATGTAAAGTCTATGGCGGGCTTGTCATACTTTGAATCGATTTTTCTTGTTCAAGAATCGGAGTGATCAATTAAAAAAAAATACTAATAATTTTTTCAATCTTTCCTATCCACGAAAATGTAGGTTAATTTTTTTAATCTTTATTACTTTTTGTAATATTGCCTTTGAAACACAAGTCACTTTCTACCTTTGAGTAAGGGAGGAAGGCAACTTCCACCCCCAAGTTCACTAATCTTCTCGGTGGGAGGTCTTGCTCCCTTTTGAAAATCTTTTTCTCTCTCTGTCCTTCTGAAGAACTGATATGGGGAACGCTTTAAAAACCGATAGCTTTCTTTTTAGTTATAAGCTTGTAATTTATTATGAAAATTATATTTGCTGATAATTCGTTCATTCTATATACATTTTATTTATTTAGTAGTAATAATTTTCTTGTTTTTATTCATTTTGAGAATGGAATTTATTTTTTAAATACATTATTCCCCTTTTTTTAAACTTTGTTTCTTGTTTTTTAGAGATGTTTCAGAATTAAAAAAATTAGCTGCTGAATAAAGTGAGATTAATTAAAATCGAATAAATGACGTAAAGATCTTCCAATATACTATAAAGCATCACAAAACTGCAGTTTTCCTTTTTTTTAAAAAAAATATATCGTACACTCATTTGTAGGTTTAAAAAAACATTTACATTAAAAAAATTTAAAAGGTTCCAATTTTTTCATTCCGTAAATAGTTTTAATTACTCCAATAGCTGGGATAGTATGTTTTTTCACGGTAAGGAAAAAAAAAAGCTAGTACACAAGACCACGCATCATCCATACATGAACAAGCACTTAACCCTGTTTTTAGGGCTTTAATGTAAATACACAAGAACACTAAAGTATTATGAAATTTTCATTTTAATCAGCAAATGAAGAAAAATATGAAAATACACGCATGTATTGTAAAATTCTTTAAAAAAAAAAGGAAGTAAAAGAACATTAGTGGTCATAATTAATATTCACGAGAGAAAAATACAAACGGTATCAAAATATAATGAATCGATGCTTAGGAACGCAACACTGAAAATATTGAAACCAGTTTGATTGCCAGATGAAATAGAAAGAATGAGAAATGTGATTATTATAAACACCACGAAATTTCATCACGATAAATTAAAAAATAAAAATAAGCTGTAATACTTAGAGTTAAGCTACTCTTTGTTACTTCAGACAGTCAAACTGGTTTTGATGTTTTCAGACCTGATTCCTTAGTTGATTCCCTGATCTGTAGTTCCTAATTAATACACTTTTTAAAACTTTTTTTCGCAATATTCTAAAAATATATATTAAGAGTAGTAATTATGCAATATCTTATGTATTTAATAACGAGAAATTTTTCGAATTCATATTAAAAGTGTATAATGTAATTTTTATTCATAACTTTTTGCTAGAACAAAGTATGTAATCAATGTGTTATTTTAATTTCTCTTCCCTGACCCTCTTTTGCCATTCATGGAGAAGAGTTTTAGTAGAAATTTCTATACTGCAAACTTTAATTAGTGTAATTATAGTTAATTAAAATATAAGAAAACTAACCGTCATTAGCATTACATAAAGAGGAAAAACACGAAAACCTCCCAGGGTTAGCCAGCATGCCATCTATATGAATATATCTCCTAGATAACCATAATTTTCTGTATTTTTGTATTTGATAAAATTTTGTAAAGTAAACTTGTCTCAATCTGTTGTTATGTTGTAAGTTTTAATCAAAACCAATAAATGCCTTTTCTTTCAAAAATTTCGTTATCGTACTTTTTATAAATTAATTTCGATTATTTTGATAAATCTTTATATTAATTACAGTGAGCAGTCTCACAAATCTATGTACTAAAATGTAAAATAACATAGAATTGTTTTATTTTGTTGTTTTTAATGATCCATCGAAATGATCTATTAGAAAAATAAATTTAAACTGTCACTTCAGCTTATTAGTCGAAAATGTTATAATTTATTTTTACGACAGAAATAATGGTATTTTTTTATGAATCCTCAAAACTGAAATGAAAGAGTTACATCAATTTTCTTATAATATTACTTCTACGTTTAGAAAATTATAAAGCTTATCAAAGATAGTTTTTAAGGAATTTCTTAGAAATAAGTTATACTTTTGTAAGTTATTTATTTGTCCTTTTATTTACGACATTTACAAATAAAATGCGTTCATTACCCACTTTTACCATTATTCTTTGTTATTAGGGTTATAATAATTTAATTAAAAATGAAGTTCCTTTATTATATAAAGTAATCACAAGATATTACTTGATAAAAATTATTTGATAAAATATAAATACCTTTTAACAAGCAAAAGCTGATAAATAAAATATATTCACTTTTTAATAAGTTATATTTTCCTTTATTCCTTTAAAATAAACTTCATATAAAACTGCGCTCTCAAAATATGCAGTTTAATAAATTTATACTAAATAACTGCTTTAGATCAATAAGGAATTTCTTTTGTATTATTGTTAAATAATATCTCTGGCGATAAGTTTTTAAAGTAACTATAACTGAGAAGAAATAATGTAAGTAAAAATGATGAATATGAGTTTGTGGGTGAAGTTTTAAATGTATCCGAGCTAAATTATTTGAATAAGTTAAGTGATATAATCGGAAACTAGATCTGTCTTAATATGATTTAAAATTTTGTGATAATTAAATCGAATAATTTTCAATTTTGATGTTTCAATTTGTTTGTGACAAATAACCCCGGTGTTTATTTTTTAAGATCGAATCATAATTCCAGTTCGGAGTTATTTATACAATAATAATTGTAGTTAGCAAAAGTAATAATTAAAATGAAGTGAGTTTTTAGTGAAGGTTAATTTAGTTCATTCAAATTGCGAAATTCAAATATTTAAGTCTAAATCAAATTTACATAGTAAGCAACCATATTTGCTTAAACAATGGATTAAATGTTAACATAGTTTTTTAAAGTGGTAGAATTTAATTAGTTTCAAAACGGTGTAACAATCTTTAAAAAAAATTAATTAAAATTAAAAAAAGATTGTGAAAAATATTTGTATTTGAATTGTAATTGAAAGAAGAAAATTAAATACGTAATAAAAAAATAAAATCTTGAACTCAAGGTTTTACTTTAACATAAAAAGTTTTAAAAATTAGCAAATCAATTTTAAAAAAATTAACAAACTTTATTTGATCTATAGAGAAAATATAAATTTATTTTTAATGTAGTTACTTTATATGAATTACTTTCATATGACTACATAGTAAAATTTTATAAATTTAAATACTCTGGTTATTATTAGTTCTCTAAATAATCAAATCAAAATAATAAACAATTCAAGATATAATTAGAAAAAGTGCATGTTAAATAAAATGATAAAACTATTTTGAAAGTAAATAAAGTCGTTTTAGAGTTAAAAAAAATATTTTTTAAGTTTATCTTAGAAAGAGAAAAAGCATAATATAAGATGAAGAGTGAGTTTCTTCTGATATCTTTTGAAAGCTAGTTGACCCCCGCAGGTTGCAATTCCCCTTCTGTGACCAGTGATTAGTTTCGGGTTACTTAACACACGCACCCCCACAAAAAATGTAGGGGAGAGGAACGGGTTTTGGAGGTGCAATATTTTTCGTCCCTATTCGCCATCACAAATTCGCCACATGCCATCACAATTTTGATCCTCTGCAGAGGGGATGGCACCCAAGCTTCGGTAGCCCGACGACTTGCAGGCGAAGTCTTCTCCTTTGAGCATTTGGCAGAAGTTAAAATCCCTAGGCTACGGAGGTTCTTTTAAGCAGACATTGCAAGAAAGTCGCAGAGTAGAAATAGACAATCTAAAGCGTTTTATTAGCAATATTTTTAATAAAACAAAGTATTTAATTTTGAAATCTGTTTATACTTGCCCAAATGAAGTTCAAATTTCAAATTATTACACCATTACTTACCAGAAGCAAAATTGCATACCCGCTGTTTTTTCAAAATTTTTTTAGACCATATTCCTATAAATCAAATAAATTTCACGACAATAATTCAAAAAGATATGTTTTGTACAGTTCGATAGGATTTTCTGCAGTAGCTTATTTATTTTTTAAGTTGAGGAAAGAAAATAACTTAAGTGTTGAAGGTTGTATGAATCTGATAAATATTTCACCTAGCGTTCAAGCAAAGACCGAGAATAGTCAACATTTGCTTACGAATGACAATAAATTGGCACCTAGAATTATGTTTAATTTTTTAGCTGACGTCGCCGAAAAAACATCGCCTTCTGTAGTATATATTGAAATTCATGCCAGGTAGAGAGCGTGATAAATTCTGATGATTAATTAATTTTGTTAACTGTAGCCTCTATATATTTAAAAATCTATATTTTAAAGGCTAAGATTTGACACCAGGATATTAATATGACATTAAGTTCTGCCTTATCCCCATTACCTGCTCTCTCAGTCTGTTATGAGATTTTTTTTTTTTAAATACTCATGTTTCCAATATTCCATTAAGGTAATCTACTTTTTTAATCCCAGAGTTGTAAATAAAAATATGTAGCTATATGCTGATAATATTATATAATCGGTAACTTGTATGCTGATTGCAAAATTGTGAAAAGAATTCTGCATTTATACCTGCACCAAAATAATGGCCAAGTTTAGCAACTTCCTGGCAGTTACCAGAAACTAAAACATTCTAGAAGGGGACTAACTCAAAAGTTTATAGCTTGTAGCCACTTTTTGGGAAACCACTACGTACATTTTATGTAAACTTATTGCAAGTTTAAAATCTCATTGGTGCAAACAGGTGTCGAGAAGAAAATATCCTTTAAATTATGGAATATTGGTGGTTGATTTTCACAATTCGTTTACTTTTGTGATCTTAACTCCTCTGGCCACATAAACTTAATTAGATTAGGCAACTGGATTAGTTACCAATCGCTTAAAAGGTTATCTTATATACTTTTTTATGAAAAAAACTTATAATTTTTTTGTACCCTTGCTGCTGGAACTGTGTATCTTACAATTAACCCTTATTAAATAAAATAATTAAAAAAGAGTAAATATAGTGTGGCTTTGAGGAGAACTCCTCCAGACTTAAAGTTTGGTGCTGTTTGTTGCTGTGGTAACAAACGAGAGCACATTTCTAATGGGGGTGAAATGGAGGAACGAAGGTACCGGTATTGGTTTACTCACGACCAGCCAGGCTAAGATTAAGACAAAACTATTCACCCCACTCCTATTCAAAGTGACCTTTCCTCGTAACCATAGTACCCGCCACAACGCGAGACTGGTGTTTGGAGGAGTTCTCCTGAAAGCCGCACTATAGTTATTAAGATCTAGTTTTTGAATGGAATTATGTTTAATTAAATTAGTGAATTTCATAATGAGCGCCAAAATTTTTTTTTAATTTGCAACTTCCCAAAATATATTAAAATGTGCTAAAAGTGGATTTAACATGAAGGTTTTGACATTCAACCCTTGTTCTGAGTTAAGTATAGGGACTGTGTATTTGACTAGGCTACCCTCATCTTTTGACTGGTAAAGTCCAAATCTGTGAGAAAAAAAGGTGCATTTATTCAGAGAAAGATCATTTTTGTGTCTGAATTCTGTAACTTGATGATTAGTTTTAATTAATTAATATATTTGTGGTCATTCCTTTGAACCATTAAGATAAGCTTTTAGTTATCATTTTGGCATTGCTTTCGCAAAAGTGTGTAAGTTGCTGTTTTGAATTGAACATTTAATCCAATCGCATTCCAGCATTTATTTAATAAAATATACTCGCTTGTGCAAATAAAACTCTAATAAGGTTCTTGCATAAAGAAAATGGACCCTTGAATTTATATATTTGAGTTTAACTTTTCTTTAGCCGAGATAGTTCTTTGTAGATTTGTTGTGTTAATATTTATTGTCATTTAATTTCATATAAGTAAATATATATATTATCTGTGTAGTATACATTAATAATAATGTAAATATTATAAACAATTATGCATTTACTGTTGCATTTCTATTTATTTCATGTACTTTTTGAGCCACATTTTAATCCACTTTGGAGGTAAAGCAAGATTAACAAGGAAAAACTGAAATTATATTATAAAATATGTTTTACAAATAATTTATTCTTAAATTTTATATTTTTCAGACACCCTATTACGCATAAAAATATTCCTGTATCAAATGGTTCAGGTTTTATTGTGGATTCAAATGGTCTCATTTTAACAAATGCCCATGTGGTTTCACATTATGGTCATGTTGCTGTAAAGCTTTTTGATGGCAAAGAATACAAGGGAACTGTTGAACATATTGATTCTGAAACAGACCTTGCAACTGTACGGATAAATGCTGTAAGTCATTGTAAATATTTATTATGTGTTTCTCATTGTACAGAATTCTATTATCTTTAAAAATTTTTGCTTATTAAGTGTTATTTTACTTTAGGATTTCTTTATTTAGTTAGATGTCACATAATCTATCTCTGAATATTTGAGTTTCCAGAATACCAAGAAGTTCATGATATTATTTAGAATGATTAATGTTGTAGAGAACCTCAAAAGTCATGCTAAATAATCTGTGAAATATTGCCAAAGTTGTGTCTCTGAGTAATATATTTAATTAGTTTTTATTACATATTTTTAGAATTGTGTTTAATAATTCACTATATTTAAATTTTTTTAATATATTATAGTAATTTTAGAAATATGTAGTGATTAATTGTATTTTAAGAAATGATATAACTACTATGATAAGAAAGCAATGAATTTATGTTTTTATTAAAATGTATTATAAAAAAATTAAAAAATAAGAAACTAAAAAAAAGTTGGTGAAAAACTTGATGCATATGATATAAGATGTAAGAAAAAACCTGATAAATAGATCTGCCATTTATACTGCAAAGTTGTTAAATCAAAGTTCAAATCTTATAAAATTTGCTACTTAACACTGAGATATGCAACAAAATTTCAGAATATTTTTTATTTTTTGTATATTGTCACTTGAATTAATTAATTTACCTAATAGGGTTTGGTGTATCTATTGTTTTTTTACATGGTTTTTTCTTCATTAAGCTTACATTCTGTAGTGTATTTGGTGTTATATATATGTGGTGTGAAAACTGAGATTATATTTAATGTAAATTATTGTCAACATGTAATCTAATCAAGAGTTTTCATAACTGTATTACTGGGCTTTTAAAACTTATATTTCCAAGACTATTGAACATAACAATAATGATATGAGACAAACTTTTAAATTTATTTTGTCTAATATGAATCCAAATTCCTGAACTGTTAATATGTTTCTGAAACTTGTGATGAACCAAACACTCACTGTGTGGTTTTGACCAATTGAAAGATGAGATTCTCGGTCATCAAGTGCTGGTTCGGTTACCTGTTTTGCTTTCAACCATTGGGGCTGCAAAACTTTCATTGTTAGAGTAGCAATGCATTGTCCTGATGTGCTGTAGTAGTTTTACAAGCGGTGAAAGGAAATGAACATGCAAATCCCCTCGGTGGTATAAATAATGGATCATTTTAGCATTCCACAGAGATTTTAGATTGGAAATATTTAAGCAGAGAACCTTCTTAAGTTTTTCAAGTCAAACTCTAATTTTTGATTCAAACTTGAAAGCACTGGTTTTCTCTGGTACTAAACTGCTGTGAACCAAGTGATGTTGAAAATTGTAATTGGCCATTGTCTTTCATAATATTCAGTGTGTTTTGCACGGTCAATTTAAGAGTCCTGCAGTGTTATTTTGTGCTAGTATGCTAAGCACTGGATTGGTAAAATCAAGATCTTTTTGTTAATACAAAATATCCAATATTTTCTTTTATGTATTTTGGATATATATTAAGATTTTAATACCAATATTTTTTACCTAAATGAAGAAAAAATATATACATACATTTTTACTGATCCATTTTTAAATGAAATAGTATGCTAAACATTGGATTGGTAAAATCATGATCTTAATGCTAATAAAAAATATCCAATATTTTTTATATATTTTGGATATATATTAAGATTTTAATCACAAATGTTTTTACCTAAACAGAGAAGAAAAGATACATTCATTTTTACTGATGTAAACTATACTATTTTTAAATGTAATAGTTATGAATGAAACTTTGTGTGGTCCTCAGAAATCTAATTGTTGAGTCCTTTATTTGTGGGAACTAGCGGAAAAATAAACATAACGCACAGAGACACAAAAACACTCAGCAAAGAAGCTTGAGGTAGGAGGATTAAGGATTGTAGTTCCTATGTGAAGTGATACTGGCTGGCAAACATGACTGATGAGCTACTGATAGGAGTGAGCAGTCTTCTCTCAGCTATTTAAGCAGCTGATTTCTCTACCGTCGAGGTTGCAGCTTCAGTGAATCTCGTCCCAATATTTTGTTTTCCCAGTGACGCCCACCTTTAGAAAAAAATACTTGCTGTCAACTAGTTTTAAGTTTTTTGTTAATTGTTTTTACTAACCATCTTTTTAAATACTTAACGAATAACCTTTTGCAGTTTTGTTTGTAAGTAAATAGTTAGCTATATTAAAGAAAGATGTTCTAGTTGACAAGTGTTTTTATTGATCTCTTCCAAGCTGCACTTACCAACACTGATTATAAATTATAAGAAAATATATAAAGTTTATTTTTTATTTATTTATTTTTGAAGTAAATAGTGCTTTTTCTTTTTTTTTTTTTTACTCAAAGAAAAGTTTATGTAAATGTGTAATTCTGCCCTGGCCCTATGTCATCGAATAAAATTCATAAATTTTATTTTTCTAATGTGTATCAGTTTATAGTTATTAGAAAATATCTATTATCTACTTTAAATACTTTGAATTTGAGCATAGTATATTTAGAATCATAAAATAATAATAAAAGAACATTATTTACATTGTTTGTTAATGGAAAAACTACATCAGCTTTAAAAACTTCTCAAGATATAATTTTTTGAAAAAAATTGAAAGCAAAACATTTAGTTTTTTTTGTGAAAAGGGGAAAAAAACTCAAATATAAATAAATCTTTTGAGAAAATTTAAAGTAAATGCTCTTAAATTAAGAATTTTAATAAAAAAATCTTTTATGCTTTGATATCATTCAGAGTAAAATTGCAAATAATATAGATTAATTAATATTAGTTTTGAATTATCTAATTGTTTTTAATATGCTTGTATCATTGAAACTCAACTGTTTAAGTCTCTTGTTAATTAACTTATTTTCATAATTTTTTTTTTCTTCACAAGCTAAGTTGCGAAATTTGTTGTGAAAATTAGACTATGGTATCATTACTTTCGTTATTAAAATAATTTTTACTATTTAATTAACTTTTATGTGTCAATACCTTAAATATTGATAGAGTTTTAATTCATTTTTTCTAGAAAGATTTGCCAGTTCTTCCTCTTGGTCAGTCATCTAATATTAGACCTGGAGAATTTGTTATTGCTATGGGAAATCCCTTGACTTTAAGCCACACAATTACTGCTGGTGTTATAAGTTCTGCTAACAGGCAAGGGAAGGATTTAGGACTCCATAAAAAATCTGACTACATTCAGACTGATGCTGCTGTAAACGTGGGTAATTCTGGTGGTCCACTAGTAAATCTGGTAAGAAAACAACAGAAAGTTCAATAATTATATATTGTTTTATATGTCTTGTTAATGACATGCAGATGGACTACAGTTTAAAAAAAATGTTTGTCTTAGTTTTCAGTAACTATGTGCTATCTTTAATCTGCTATTAATACAATATTAATAAAAATTTAAAATATTCAGAAATTTTTCAAAGTCTTTTCTAGATGTAACCACATTTTTGTTACTCTAAAATTAGTTTTAAGTTGTGGTGATATTAACCATCCTTTCTCAGCTATGTTGTCAACACTTTTCAATGTCTTTTTATGTAAGAGTATGTTACTAGAATTACTTAAAAGAAAAATATCTGTTGTAATTTTTAATTGTGCTATGATTGTGGTAAATTTGTTAAAGTCTAATTCAAATAACTTGTGTCATTCAAGGTTTCTGTGGGATTTTTTTTAATTTTAAGCTTTCTTTCAGTTAAAAATTTCTTTTTCCTAATTTATCTAAAGTAAAGTAAAATATTTTAATCAGAAATCAATTATGCTAATGTTCATTGTCATTCATGCTATCATATGTACATAAAATGGACCTTCCTGAATAACTTTTGATTTAGTGATCAGATCTTTATGTTCTAAGACTCAATCTTAATGTTTCAAAGGGGTGACTTGAAATATGCTAATTAATTAGTGCAGATGAAAGTTTAAGTTACAAAATCAAATGCAAAAATGTACTTTCTCTAAGTAACTTTCCTTGATGGATTTGGAATTCTGACCCACAAAATATAGGGGATGGTCGCAATCTGTGAAACATTATTCCCTTAATGCTAATTTTACTTTTGCATATTTTACCATATCTCCTGCTTTTTTTAAGTGAATTGAAAAAATTTTTTGCACCAAACTATAAAGTTAATTTATTCAAAGATAATTCCATGCAACAAATAACTTTTAGTAAATATTTATTATTCTTTATTATTTTATTTAATAACAGTAAAAGAAATTTTGAATTTTAAGGTTTAAAATTTTTTACATCATTTTAAAGAATATAATTTTTTTATGGCAAAATACAAAATTTGAGTGAAATCGATCAAATAGTTCTTGGGAAATTAAATTTCAAAAGTATGACGTTTTTTACAATATGTATTTCGTATCTCAAAAAATCAAATTTAAATATACATTTTTTTAGAAATTCAATATCTCAGGAACTATTGGATCAATTTCGCTCAAATTTTGTTTTTGCCATGTAAAATTACATTCTTTAAAATGATGTAAAAAGTTATAAACCTTACAATTCAAAATTTTTTAGACTATTATTAAATAAAATTAGAAATATTTACTAAAAGTTATTTTTCGAATGGAATTATCTTTGGATAAATGAGTTTTATAGTTATCTGTGCAAAAATTTTTCTATTCACATAAAAAGTTCTCGAGACATGGTGGAATACGCAAAAAGTAATAATTTTAAAGAACGTTATTTTACATGGCAAAATGCAAAATTTGAGCAAAATCGGTCGGATAGTTTCTGAGAAATTGAATTTCAAATATCTGACTTTTTTGAAACTCAATTTCTTGGTAACTTTTCAACCAATTTTGCTCAAATTTTGTATTTTGTAATGTAATTGTTTGTAATGAGGGATTTGGATTTCTGACGCTCAAATTATAGGGGTTAGCTGCAATCTGGAAGTTTGGTCTCAATAGTTTGCTCAGGAGAGCGCTCTAAAGTTTGGACACTTTAATGTTAATTTTACTCTTTGCTTATTTCACCATATCTCGAGAACTTTTTAAGCAAACTGAAAAATTTTTGCACACAATTATAAAATTTGTTTATCCAAGGATAATTTCATGCAAATAATTTTTTTTTTTTATTAAATATTTTTTTTTATTATTTTATTTAAAAACGGTTGAAATAATGTTGAATTGTAAGGTATACAAATTTGTACATTACTTTAAAGAATATAATTTTGCCCAGTGTCTTACTGTGAAAAATTATATTCTTTAAAATGATGCAAAAATTGTGTACCTTACAATTCAAAATTTCTTCGTCCATTATTAAATAAAATAATAAAAAATAATAAATATTTACTAAAAGTTAATTTTTGCTAGGAATTATCTTTGGATAAACAACTTTCATAATTGTTTGTAAAAATGTTTTAATTCGCTTAGAAAGTTCTTGGAATCAAGCTAAATAAGCAAAAAACAAAATTAACATTGAAGGGTCCAAACTTTGGAGTTCTCTCCTGACAAACCTATTGGGACCATATTTCCCAGATTTTGGCTATCCCTTATATTTTGGGGGGTCAGATATCAGAAACCATTGGAAAGAAAGGTATGTTTATTCTGAGAAAGTACGTTTTTATGTCTGACTTTGGAACTTAAAATATTGTCTGCACTTATTAATTAGCTTATTTCAGGTCACCCACCTGAGCAATTAAGATTGAGTCTTAGAATGTGAAGATCCGATTATTAGATCAAAAGTTATTCAGTGTGGTTTTTAATTTCATTTTGTTAACTTAATTTTTTTTAATACTCAACTATGCATTATTGCTTTAATAGGGGGATTAATTTTTTAATTATTTCCATTTAACTTTATACACGTTATTTCAATGTCTACAGGAAAAATTTAATGTTACAGAGTTGCTATAATTCTCTGCAAATTATGATTCCCCCATCATGTCTCATTTTGGGACGCATAATCTATGCAATTTTCAACTCCTACATTGAGCGAATTTTATATAACTCATCCCTATTCATATACTCATGATTTAAACATCACATATTGTGATGCCCATTCATGCTAATTATAAATCAAACATCACTATTTGTTTTTCACGCCATTAATAAAACAAATAATGTTATTCATACCCACATGATTTAAAATATCACGATTGGTACAGTACAGAACCCGTTATCCGGAAATCAGAAAACCGGAAAACCAAAAAACCGGAACGAAATTTGGTAAATTTTCCCCGCCATTTTTAAAAAAAAAAATTTTTTTCCTCGTAAAATTTTAGGATTTTTCTTTTTTGAAAGATGTTTACCTTACCATCATTTTGGAAATAATCATTAGTGTATTACTTCATATTTTTTTCTTCTTTTTAAGATTATTTCCAAATATTTTTCGTTTTTTTAGTTGCTTTTAACAATAAAAAAACTGCTTTTTGTAGCGATTCAGAAAACCGGAAAAATCAGTTATCCGGAATAGCGATGGTCCCGATCGTTCCGGATAATCGGTTCCCTACTGTATTTGTACTATTTCAAAATCAAGTATCATAAATTTTTTTCATATGTTTTAAAATCAAATGTTGCAATTCGTATTCTCTTTCTCGTGATTTTAAAATGAAAAATCACGATTTATTTTCACCCATTTTTAAACCAAACATTATTTTGGCTATTATTTTTTTTATATTTAAGGCTACTAAAAGAACTATTTTCAAGAAAATTTTTAGTTTAAACCCTGATATAGAATTACATATAGATTAAAATGTAAGGCAAATTGCAAATTATGTTTACATTAAAAAAAATTAAAATTATTTTTTTAAAAGTAGCAGACTGTTTTAGCTAAAGTTAAAACCCAGAGTGTGCAGCCTATGTTCTAGAATAACTTCTGTTCTGCTTGGTGTGATAATCTTTGAGAATTATTAAAGAGGAAAAATGAAATTTATTATCTTTACTGTATTGTAAACATTTTTTATCTTCTTTACATAAAATATTATTCCATTTTAGGATGGAGAGGCTATAGGAATTAATACAATGAAGGTTACTGAAGGTATATCATTTGCTATTCCCTCTGATCGTGCTGTTGAATTTTTAAAGCGAATTGAAACGAAAGGTGAAGGTAGATAAGAAGTTAATGTTCAAATTATGCATGAATTGTTCATACACTTTTTTCAATTTAGTATTTTATTCAACACTTTTGAAACTATGTTAAAAGTTATGATCAATAGAATTTAAGGATTTTTATTTCTCTATTAATTCTATTCAAATGACCAGAACATTTTCAGAAGCAAACTTGTTAGAAAAGAAATAAATTTGGCTTATGGATTGTAATGAAATGTTGACTACTCAGCAGCCACCCATATTAAAGCACCAAACTCGCTTTCAGGGCTCTTATCTTTTAACAGTCATGGTACATAATTTTTACCCCAGTCTGACAATGTGAAAAGTGCTTAAGCTGGTACACTTTTCTCTAAACATCTGGATCACAACTTATGAGGTGACTGTGATTCACAACAGATTTAATGTTCAACTTAATATGTGTGCATAGCGGTTTCTTAGTCAGCTCTCTACCTATGGAGTTATGCCTTAATGGACTTAATTGAATTTGATTCATTAATTTAATTTAATTGAATTTGATTCATATCTGTGCTTGCCAGCCAGTTTTGCCTTATTTTGGACAAATGAATTAAAATTATTATTAAGGTAGCTAAATAGAAAACCATTGCACTTGAGGAAATAATATTTATTGTGCGCAAAAAAATAATTTAATAATAATCATTGTGCATGAGAAAATTTTATTTTAGTAATAATCATTGTGCATGAGAAAGTTAATGTTAGAAACTAAGAAAAATAAGATGTTTTCTCATTGGAATTTTTAAGTAAAATTTTTATAAAAGACCCTAAATATTTATTGCTTTTGATTTTTAAAACTGTTCACATGGAGGTTTTAATAACTGGCAAATATTTCTTTTCTCAATGATTAAAAAAGTATTGCAAAAATCTAAAATCTTTGCCCATAAATATAATGAATAAAATCACGTAAATTTAGGCTTCTGTTACAATAGTAAGTCATTAATGTAATTTTATTGAACTTTGCATTACTTATAAATTTAATAAGTTTTTTAAACAAATTAAACTTAAAAAATTTAGAGCTGTAATATTTAAATATCAAATTAAATTAACAGAAAATGCAATAAATTTAAGTTGCGTTTAAAAAATACTTGATCACTTGAGTATTAGAGAAAATAAAAAAATAAAATTGTTAGTGCATGTAGCAAATCAGATAAAAAGAAGCAGTTATTGTTAGATACAAATAGATTTTTTTATTTTATTACATTAAAATTTTAATTCAGCTTTAAAATGTTATTTTTAGTGGTAATTTTTTTTCTGGCTAAGTTTTTACTAAAAAATTGAAACTTTTTTTTACTAAATGTATTAACCCCCGTAGCAAACCTGTGCTTGTAATGTAATTGTAAATTTCTAAAAGGGCTTATCTTAGACTTTTCATTCAAAATGGCCTTTTTTTAAAAATTGATTATATATATATATATATATCAACCAATATTCTACAAGCAAGATGGGCTCCTATCTGATTTCACTGATAGTGTTGTCCCCAAACATTATTACTATTGAAGCATTTCCATGCTTCTTTCCTAAACTGCTGATTAGTGGTTTAAAAACAATGATTGAACTGACATCATATCAAAGATTAAAACGTGGGTAGAATCGTGACAGTTTTCTATAATTTAGGGGTGATTTTGATTCTACTATTCAAGTGATTATATTTAGTTCCACGACAGACAAGTGTATTATTTTTTTTTTAAAAAATAAAGTGGAAGCTATAATTGAAATATTTTGTTAGCTATAAATATAAATTAGCTGCCACTTTTAAATTTTTTTATTGGATGCAACAACTACTGCATAAATGAATGATGTGCAAAAGTTTAAGCAATTTATACTAAGGGAAAACTTAACTATGTAACTAGTAACAGCAGGCAATATCACAGCTTTAATTAGCTGAGGGAGTTTTTACAAGTCACTAATATTCACAACATATTTTGTTCTCACAAAATGTAGTATTCCCAGAGTTGAAACAAAATTTACTGTTAAGAGCATCTTGGGTTGTAAGGCAATCAAGGGGTCTTCATTTGCAGTGCAAAAAGAAACTTTTCTTTATTTCAAATATGTATTATTTAAATTTATAATTATAACTTTTTGGCTAATCTATTTTATTAATCTATGCTTTTATTTTATTTCCTCTATACAGATTTGATCTTTATTTTATTCAACTGTTTTAAGTATCTGTTATAAAGCATCAATAATTTTTAAATTTATTTTGTTTGTTTTACATGTTTGCATGTTAAAACGAAAAAGCTGCTGAAAAATCAAGGCAGATTAAATTCTGAAACCATGTATGTATTTTTGAATAGCTGAAATATACTTTTGAAATAACTAACTTAATTTTGTTGTTTATAGGTAAAAAAATAGAACTCAATAAAAAGAAATATCTTGGTATAACAATGTTAACTCTGTCTCCTACTATAATACAAGAGCTTAGAGAAAGAAGCCCTGATTTTCCTAATGTCTCTAATGGTATAATGGTTTGGAGAGTTATGATTGATTCTCCAGCCTACACGTAAGTAATTTTATTTTTTAAAAGTTTTTAAATTTGTGTAATATTTCAGTGCTTTTTGTATATCAAACTAAAAAATTTTAAACTTTTTCTATACATATTTTTAATACAAATTTCTTTTCTATGTCATAAGACAAAAACACTATTTTTAAAGAAGGGCCAGATAATTACAAATGTTCATGATTTACTTTTATATTGTCCAGTGAAATTGTTAACTAACAGATAATTGAGCTTCTCTTAATGTCTTGGCAAAATGTCCACAACATGAAATATCTTTCAATGTGTAAAAGATATTGCAAGAAGACTTTAAAAGTCTGACCTTGTCAGTTCATACATTCTGCTCTTTGTAAAACAATTTAAATGGCTTTGAAGGAATTAATGCAACTTTCTTGGAGAAACCTTTGTATTTCTATAGAAGGTAGAACGGGAAGAACGTTGATAAATTTTCTTAATAAAATTTAGAAGAAAATTTTTTTTTTTAATAAAAATGTTATGTTTGATTTGGTCTGAAACTATGGTTGCACTTTTGCAATCAGTTAATTTTTTTCTTGTTATTTTCCTTAATTTTAAAGAGAGCTAAGATTGCTTATAAAACTACTTTTTTGTTATGAATGCCTTTATGCTTATTATTAGACGAATTAGTTAAGCTAAAATTAAAATATTGATAATTAGCTTGTATATTAGATATACTATTATGAAAATCAGAATTTATTGTCTACTCATTGCTTGTGATCATATATATATATATATATATTTTTTTTTTTATAGTGGTGGGTCTTTTACACGGTTTGTCTTTTTGATATCTTAAAGCAGGGATATTTCTTGTTAACCTAATAAAAATATTTTTTCTTTCTTTGTCCTGATTTTTAGATTTTTGTCCTTATGATCCTGATTTTTATGTGTGTTCAGATCATCCCATTTTCTATGAATGCTACAGATTTTAAAATAGAATTAGTGAAAATATTTGTATATTCGATTAAAATTTTTTATTTTATTTTAATGAATAAAGTTGTAAAAATTTCAAAATTTGATCAAAATCTCAAAATTTTTTCAATTAAATATATACATAGTTCAGGCATATAGCATTACCCACAAGATTAACTGTATCAAACTTTTAAAAATATTATTTTATGTGAGAAAGAAACTGAATTAATAATTTTACATTATCATATTTTTATTTTGATGAATTCTGGGGTCATTTGCAGCAAATATCGTAACAAATTTTGTAAGGTAGAGTTTTGGAATTTCACAATTATTGATTATTCTCTTTTAATTGATTTTGAAATTGATTGATACCAATTGATCATACAGTGAACATATTAAAAAAGTTTTAAATATTGAATTGAGGGATCATCCACTAAATTACATTTGTACAAAAATGTAAGTAGCATATTAACTGTTTTTTCCTTTTGAGAATATTGAAACTTTATTTTAAAATTATTTGAATTCTTTAAAATTTTCTTGAACTCCATTACAGATTTTAATTAAATATTGTATGAGGGAATATTAACTGAATGATACTGGTTATTTTTTGATGCAACTATACAATAAAAATTTTTATTTATTAATCTCAAATTATTGCAAGTTGTTCAGTGTTCCGTTAATAAAATTAAGCAGCAAACTTAAAACTCTCTGTTGAAAAGAAAGTAATTCTGATATTAAAAATTGATAAAATTTGCCTTTGTTATTATTCAAATAGAGCAAATTACTATTTTTAGTTTGTCATTTACTCTTTATAAAAGTATGGTACCAATCCAACATCTTGAATTTTTTTAAAAAAATGTTTTGATTTTTTTTCTTTGGCACATACAAGGCCTGCTTTATGTGGATTTTTTTCTGCTTCTTAATGTGTCAAGTGTTTATTTATACCTTGTATGTTTTTTTTTGTTATTTCAGAAAATTTAGAAACTTGTAACTTTTTATAATGGAAATATATTAATGATATACAATTTTTATTTTGTTAATACGATTAGTCACTTTTATGAACTGAACACAATTTTAATAAAATTTTTTTTCTTCGGTTTCATAACTTTTTAATGCACAAGAATTTCAAATATCTTTGAATACTTACTATTAGTGATTCATGTTTAACATATGTTTCTGATAAAAAAGTTATGATTTCTAGCTTTTGTCTGTTTTGTTTCTAGAGCTAAATTACTAAATATCAAAAAAGTCTTAATGTAATTATTTTCATTTTACAATTAGAACTATCATGTTTTTAATTCAACTATTTACTTAGCTCACGTGAATAAAATTTTCAGATTAAAATTTTCCTTGTAAAAAAAACCCCTCAGTTTTTCTTCAACAGAAAGTTGAACAAAATACTGAAAAATCAATACCTTTTACCTAGCTTATAGTAAAAGCTAAACTATCTTGAATTTAGTTTATCTGAACTTTTGAAAAATATCATTAAAATAATTTTTTTTGTATTTTTCTTTTTTTTAAAAAGATTAATCTAACTTTTTTAACAAAAAAATCATCAATTTTATTTAGTTTAACAAGAAATCAATTTCTTCGACCTCAAAAATTCTTAATCTTTTAAGAAAAATAGTTTACTATTGTCAGACGTATCAGGATTGATAACATTTGACTGATTTTGATGAATATAAAAATATTGTGACTGTTCTTTGCTATTTGTTGTTACAGTCTGCAAGGAAATTTAAAAAACTGTTGATTGCTATTGATGTCAAATGTATGATTGATGTCAGATGTAATATGATTTATAATGTCAGACTAAGTTTGATCAGTATGAAAACAATGTGACATATTGCTCTTTGCTGTGACGGACTGCAAAGAAATTTAAAAAAATACAAAAAAACTTGTATGTTTTTTGAAATTATTTTAATTGTGATTGGAATAGAATTTTTTGCAATGCTCTTTCTGATCTTAATTTCCTTATATATGCTCTATCTTTCTTTTGGTTGATTCACAATTACTTCTAAACATGTTGATATTATATTATTTGCTTAAAATCAATATCAATTAAATGTTTAATTAGATTTTTTTAACAATCATAAAATTAGGATATTTAGTAGACTTATGTTATTATTATCAGAGCAAACTATAAGGGACAGTCAAATTGAAATGAACACCTACCATAAAACACATTCCTAGATTAAGTTGATAACATTGTTATTGCAAATCAATAGTGCTATGTGTTGGGTAGCAGAAATGCATAGTGCACAGGTCTATGCAGTTGCTTTTTTATTGCTCTTCAGCGTAAAATGTGTTTCTTCATTCAGTATTAAAAATGGAGGCAAGCAAAATGGTGTAGTTCAGTTCTTGGTAGCAGAAAATGCCAGAACACCTACAATTTATCATAACATGTCTGGATTGTATACTGTAGTAACACTTATTTTGAGATGCATATTTATAAAGTTGACATAAGCATTAAATGTAGAAGTAAATTTCACTGTCACTTAATGATATATAATTATTATGTCAGGCAAAGTAGGATTTGTTTTAAGTGTCTGTGTCTTAAAAATGATATTAAACATCCAGAAAACCGCAATTATAATGCCATTCGGTTTATTTGAATTCAACTACATGAGTTTTGGTTTAAAAAATGTAGCACAAACTATGCAAATACGTCTGGATAGAATTTTGGAAGTTTTAGGATACTTTATATATAGATGACATTTTGGTAGATTCCACTTCTATCGAAGAACATCTAGTGCACCTTCAAGAAGTTTTTTAACGAAAGTATAACTTAACTATCAACTTACTTAAATGTATTAGCATTTCAGAAAAATAAAGTTTTTGGGACACTCAGTTCACGTTTTAGGGCACTCAATTTTAGGAAGTAATTAATGAAATGGATTAGTGGTCTGCCCTATGAACACCACAGAATCATAGAGGAAGAAATCCGTGATCAGGTTGTTAATAACCATGGCTCCGTGCATATCATAGTCAAAGATCACCTTCAGTTTTGAAAAGTTTGCACTTAGTTATTTCTTCATCAAATGGCAGAAGAAAAAAATAATTGTCAGAATGACTGACTGCATGTCTGAGTCATTTTGTGTGATACAGACTACAATGATTTGGCTGAAAATACTTCAGTATTCATTGTAACACTCAGATCTTTCTTCTTGCATATTTTCCCTTTGACAACCAAAGACATTTAGGATTTGTTAGTGACATACCTCTTTTAACATGACTAGAATTATTTGTCATGTGGAGACGCTTATTATGAGATGCTTATTTTTAAAGTTAACATAGGCATAAAAGAAGTAAATTTGATTAGAAACTAATGATATATAATAATTATATTGTTTGAAGTAGGTTTGGTTTTTAATGTCCATGTCTCATAAATATCTTAGTATATTTGTAAATCAAATTTATGTTTGAATTTATTCTGTTATCTCATTATTTAATTGTTGTGACAATTAACTCCGACGACAAACTGGTGACTCGGACCTGATACGAACATGCAGCCTTCAGATGAAACTTTCTTTTTAATTAAACTCAAGCAACATATACAGCTACTGAAACCAATTTAAACATCAAACCATTCTGCTAAATCTATGTTTGCCTTTCAAGATTAAAACAGGTTCTTACATATTTCTCAGAGTGATTTCTGTAAAATCTTACCTAACAGCTCTATATATTGGTCCTCACAAAGTTGTTCAATGCAAGGACAAAACATTTGACATTCTGGTGAAAGATAAGCAAGTTAAGGTCATCATTGTTTGAGTAAAGCTAGTATATATCTTAGAAGAGAATTTAAGAAATTCTTTCACATAAGTTCAAACTGACATCATTAGTCATTACGCCATCAGAACAAGATTCAAGAGACATGCCAAAGTTGAAAGAGATTTGATTCATTGTCTAATTCTATTCTTTTTCTCCAGTAAAAACTAGATCTGAAAAATGCGTGCAATTTCCTGTTAAATACAAACATTATATAAATTATTTATTTTTTTGGAAAGGGGATAATGTGACACTTATTTATTTTTAAGGTTAATGTAAGCATAAAATGTAGAAGTAAATTTTACTAGCAACTAATGATATATAATAATTGTATCGTTCAAAGTTGACTTGGTTTTTTAATGTCTGTCTCTTAAATATCATCTTATTAGTATCTTTGTTCATAAAATGTATCTAGTTTTTATTTTTGCTACTGTTTTATTTTATTGTTACGACACTTAAAATGCGCGATAGTCTTTTCTCAGAGTGGGATAAATTTATTTACATTGTTGGAAATTACTTTAAAATAAAACAAATTCCATCATCTTTTTATATCGGGTGCTCTATTTTCTTTTGACTACCCATTTGTTAGCAATAATTTTATTCACACATCTTTTGCCATTCTAAAGATTGTCTTCATTTAATTGTAAAAAATTGAACTTCATTCAAATATTAGCCATTGCATAATTTTAAACTTTTTAAGGGATCCTTCTTTTTTTTATTTTTCATTCAATAAACTCATAATGTTCATAAAAACCCAAATTTTGTTTTGAAATTTTATGTTTTCCTTTCACTAGTTTAGAAAATTTATACCATAATCAACAATTTAGCTTTCTGAATTATTTCAATTGTTTAATAATTTAAGAGTCAATCTCCTCATTTATAATTTTGCTATCACTGTGTATTTTATCTATAAATTTGAATCTATTTTTAATTTTTCAGTTGTGCAATTCTTGAATTGTATTAAAAAACCAGCAATTGTAATGTTTTAAAATGTAAAACAAATGGGTAGTCAGTCTATTTATTTTAATTTTAACCACATAAATGAGCTTAGATTTTTTTTAGTTTTAATTCTATGATCTTGCTTACTTCCTTGTAATGGGTTAAGAATTTTCTCATTTAAGTTATTTCCTCTCTACTGCTTGATTTCTTCTTATTTGTATGTAGACAATTGTAAACAATTGATAGTTTTTCTCAAGTTGAAACTTTGTATATTTTATTACTAAGCCATAGATTTAAATATAATTTTGCATAATTGATATTTAATTGTTAAAACAAAATTTCTTTGGAAGAATTTTTATAAATATTTGTTCAAGCTGTGTTGAAAGTAACTATTCATATTAACAAATATTTTTTGTTTATCAATGTAATTCTATCTGCTCAATAATTAACTATTATTTAATATTGTTTTGTTCATTTCATTTCTTTAATGCTGATTTTGAAATATGTTTGAATTTATTTAGAAATGAATTTTCTTATTTATAGTCCATTTATTACTAGACCTTTTAGCTTAATGCTTATTTGTTTTATAATAGGCATGTATGTTTAATAACATGTTATATTCGAAATGTAATTAGTTATTGAGATTATTTATACAGTTACATTATAATATATATTAGAGGTCTGAAGATGTCATTTAATTTACCCATATATCTATCTTTAATTATTCTAATTATTATTTTTTAATTATTACTTAAAAATATATTATATACTTATGTATGGAACACCTGGCTTAATTCGTATGGACCGTTTTAAAATGACTCTAGAAATAAAGTAACTATTCTTGGTTCTCGTCACCAAAAAAGTGTGAAAGTGGTATTCCTCTTGCTAGATTTTAAAATCAGTCATAAAAACTGATATAAAACTCAAAACTGATACTGATACAAGGGGAGACTTTTTGAGATTTTAAATATTGAGGGGATAATATAACCACTATCTCTCGTGCCAGCAATAAATATATAAATCAAATAAACAGTGTCATTATTTTTTCATGACTACTTATTAATTAGAGTGCAAAACTTTCCAAAGGTAAACCATACCTGATCTATATTAAAATGTCATATTTTTATGCTTATTACCTTTTAATAAATTATGAATTAAAAGGTTTTGTAATTAAATGTATGACCTAAATTTGTAACTTTTTTTAAAGTTTATACCCTAAAATTTTAGAAATATTGAGTCCTAAGCATTTTTTAGGACCTTACCATTATATTTCTTTACAAAACAAGAGTAGGCAAATGTCTGCACCAAGTTTTACTGTTTTTCCATTAAATTGGAAAAAGTATTAGTTTTGTTTTTTTGACACAACAGGGCTGAAAGAAATCCCACCAAACTTTTAAGTGGTGTCTTTTTTTTCTTTTGACCATTTTCTACTTTATCAGTTTTAAAACTTCTCTGTAAAAATTATTATTGTCCATCTGTTCACTAATGCATATATGTATATATTACTTTCAGTTGTGGAATTCGACATGGTGATATTATTACTGCTATAAATGGAAAAGAAATCAACTCTGCATCTGATGTGTATAAACTGCTACAAAGTGAAAATGTGTTGAAAATTCACATATTTAGGAACAGGAGAGAATTTGAAGTCACCGTAGAACTACTTGATCCAGTGCTTATTTAAAGTGCAAAATATTTTGCTATTGGTCATATTTATTTTCTCAATGTTCATTGTTTGATATTATGAAAGTTATAGACATGCAAATGTTTTTATATTTTATATGAAATGGATTTAAACTGAAAAAGAAAACATTTGCCACTGATATTAGATTTTTCTTAATGAACATTTTTTTAAAAGTAAAATAGTCCATTAAAAGCTTTACTATTTGAAATGTGTGTGAATTACTCAATTCCAGATTTTGGAGCATCAAAAAGTTTAGTTTTTTATACATTATTATTTCTTGGAAAAAGTATAGTGCTTTAATAAAAGTATAAAATTTATCAGAAGATAGAATATAGTTTGTAGTTTTAATGTGAAATAGTTTTTGAAATAAATAAACATATAACTAACAGTAGGAAACATTTAAAATAAATTATAATCCTAATTCGATAAATAGCAGTTAAAAATGTTTTATTCACTCTAAGTGAATAAAAAGACCTTAATTACACTGTGCTTTCAGTATGATTGAAGAAATTGGATTGATATTCAGCTTCTTAATTATTCACACGTTCAATAATTGTCATAATGAACTCAATTTTATTACCAATAAAGGGGATTTTTTCTGATGAAAAAAACTGGCATTTCATTAAAAAAGATAGCTCATGTACAAACTTATTAACTGTTTAAAATATGAAATAGTTAATATGAAGAAATAGCAATTTGTCACAGATGATGAGCATGAAAGATGATTCGAGTGCACAGAATTGCTTTATATTGTATAGAGATAAGGATTACTTTAATGCAACAGAAATCAGATATTTTTAATTTAACTACTGCTGCCATTCATCCAGGATTTTTATCACTTTCTCCCATGCTTTTTACTGTATTGAAAAAAAATTTTCTGTCATTTCTATGAAATTCTTTAAAAATCTAAATGTACAACAGTTTTGTATACAAAAATTTGAGCATTGTTATAATATTTTTATAAAAATTGAAGTATAAATGATCATTTTGAGAAATAATATTCACCAACATTTTGACATATATTTTTAAAATTAATTATGTGCACTAATGAGAAAATTGAAAATTTACCGTACTTTTCTGCCAAAATAAAACTAGAGTATTAATATATTCCAGTGATCCAGTCTTATGACTCTATTGTAAAATTAAAAAAGTCAATAATTCAATAATACCTATTTTACCTCTTAATTAAAGGTAAAATTACCTTACGTGCATTTTCTGTGTTGATTCTTCTAGTTAGACTGGAGGAAGCCACGCCGCTTTTCTTTCGATTCAAAAAATCGCTTCTCTTGAAAAAAAGATGTAATTATTAAAAATAAACAAAGTCTGTCATTGAAGGAATTAACTCCTGTCCATTTTTTGAAAACATTCAAACAAAATTAGCGATTAAGCGACACATTAATATTTTGAAAAAGGAACGCACATTTTAACCTCTTAACTCGGAGGCAATAATTTAACTTCTGCTTACTTACAAACTGCAGTTTTCCAGTTATGGTTAAATTTTAAAGTCAGATAGTTCCTCAGAATTTCTCAACATCTATAATGACAAAAAATTTAGATATTACATTTTATGTTAGTTTCTAATGCATACATAATTGATAATCATATTTATTGTTCTGATCTTGAAAATCCTCATACATGAAAGAATATTTCTTTCTATAAATTTATTTTATTTTAACAAGTTATTAATTCTGAAGGATTTTGATCTTGAAGTGTTCTTCAGATTTAAAGATGTCATAGAAAATCATTGATACATAAAGAAAGAAGGGTGTAAATTTTCCTTATAACTTAAACATTTATGAATATCAGGAACAATGATTGAGTTGGTGATAAAGTTGAAAATAGACATGTTGAAACTAATTTATAAAGAAAAAGATTATAAATAAAAGCTCCGAGATTTAAACTTTAATTTTAGCAATTAAAATAAAAATAAAACTAATAGCGTAATTATATTTTTGTGAGCTCATTTTTAGAAATTCTGTGGTATTTATCTATCACAATAAAGCTATGGTATACATTGACATAATATAGTGTTATAGTTATATAAAAGATTTTAATGTTAAAATAATGGTTAAAGGCCCATATTGAGAATATGTTTCCTAAGTTTTATATTGTGAAAAAATTTCCCCTTCTCTTGTTCTCTAAATTCGTTTAGCATTGAAATTTATGATATAGCTTACATTATATTATGGTTAATTACTGGTGAATGGTTAGGTACTTACTTTGACCAATAATGCCTAATATCAGCTATAATATAAAAATAATATGCATCCATATCAGTTATTAACAATAAACTACTATCTGCCAATGAATAAACATGGGTTTTTAGCTACCTCATATTTGCCGGTGAAAACCCAAATCTGCATTTTTGAAAGGGCGCCTAAATAAATGCCATGCTATTTGGAAATGAATGTTGTTTGTTAATGCCAGCATTTTTAAAAACTTGATTTGAAAGTTTTGATTTTTACTCTGCTAATTTAATTCTATAATGTCTAATTGGGTGGAGATTTATTTTATGTGAGTCCAGCTTCTGAATATGCTTTATTTTAGCTATGATTTTCAATTGTTAAAAACATGTTTTATATTTCATTTAAAATATGCTAAACCTTTTCTTCTGTTAGATGGCTCAGTTTGATAATACTGGGAGATATTCAGAGAGGTATGATCCAATAGCTATATTTTACAATACTTTAATACAATACTGTAAATAAAAATTCTTGGAAGGTTGGACACAGTGTCTGAACTGTAAACAATGGGCACATGCAACTCTGTTGCATCACAGAGGTATAGGATCAAAGTTTTATTCTTGATTTTTGCTCTTAAATTTGAACTATTAACTTGATTTTTGATATATTCCAAATATATCCTTAATGTTCCTTAATTTTTAAACCCTTGTTTGTTTCTTACAGTAGAGATTTATTATAATAATTTGTTGCTGTAAGTAGATTTTTCCATAGAATAAAAACTTTTTTCTCCATTATTTATAATTATACCTGTTTTTTTCCAATCAGGTTTTGGATAGAACCAAGTTTTAGCATACTTCAAAAAAGTAATTTACCTTCCAAAATATTTTCTTTTTTTACATTGAATAATTTTTATATTTGGTGCTAAGAAAACTATTTTATTATTCAAAAAACATGTAAGCAATTTTATTTGCAGAGTTATTTAAGAAAAAGGAAAAACCTCAAGAACTCAATGTTGTCCAACTTCCCCATAATAACTCCCAAAAGAATTCTTATACTAATTCATACAAAAATTAATGTATTCATGCAAAATATCGTGCAATCCTAAACCATCATTCTCTGTACTAACTTAATAATTAATTTCCGTCGTGTAACATTGTTTATGTATATGTACTACATTTTAAAGTATGATTTAATCTTTTCACGATTTTTGTGTATCTAAATATTGCTTAGGAATGCAAATTGAAAATTAAGTTATTTGATGTGTTCCGTACATTAAGAGAAGTAAATGATTGCTGAACAACCTATGAAATTGGCAAATGATAATAATTTACGTCTCACTCATGATAATAAATATCAGCAATTGATTTTTCTTGTCAATTGATCAGCAATTGACTTCTTCTTTGAGTGGGGTATCATCCTAAGCTGGCTGAGTTATTAAACGAAAGAAGAAAAGAAACCCAAGAAACTCAAAAAGAAAATTATTTTTTTAAAGAATGATAAACATTAATATTAAAATTTAATACATTTGCTGAAACTTTTGGGAAAGTAAAAAAATATACAAAAAAATTAAATATTTTTAAACATTTAAATGTATTTAGCTGTTACTTAATATTTTTCAAACTGATGAAATTTTGCAAGACATTTATTTAGACCAAATGTCTTAATAAAACTGGGTATGCAAGTTCAAAATTGAAAAAAAAAAATCCTAGAAAGATGGAACAGTCTAATTCTTCTTCACATACCATGCTTATCTTCCTCATAGGATATCCATTTTCTATATAGGTCATTCAGAAATACATGAAAATTCCACACAAGACCATCTTAAAAACCTTCAGAAATACCTTTATATCTGTTTGGTGCAGTACAAAAAAAGATATTCACGAATATATTTTTACTAATTAAGTGTCAATCTTAATGGTTCTTCACTTCAAACGTTCATTAATTAGTGCTAATTATTAATTAGGTTACAAAATAGGGGGGGGGGTAGACAAAATTTTGAAAAATTGGATTGAAAATTAGGATTCTAGAAAGCTGTATATATTTGGTTTAGTTTCCCAAAAAGAGGCCAAGTGGTATCCCCATACCTTACTTGAAGATAACCATAAACTGTGTGATTGACAAGAAAGAAATATTTAGTGTTTCTCTAATGCTAAGCAAAAAAGTGGAGTCAATAAAAAGGAATGAAATAAAAACTGAAGCCTTTTCAATCATCTATGCAACTGACAGTTTTCTGCCCCAAAAGCATAGATTGTTTTCATTTTCATCTCCTTTGAAAATAATTTTTGAGTCTATTAATAAACTATTTGTGATTTTCTAAAATTTTAGAATTTTAATTGCCTTTTTATATGACATTATTTGCATTTTTTAAGTTTTTAATTTTTTTAAATTTGAAGATTTTGCACTAAAACCAAATTTACATTAATTATATAAAGAGTTGTAAGACAAATCATAGAAAAGTTCACGAAAAAATTTAAAGTATATGGAGAAGAATTTTTGAACTTTAATGCACATTCACAATGTTCATCACGATATTTCTTTTTCCTATAAATGAAGAAATTATTGAATGTTAATTGGCATTTTAAAAAGATTGAAATATGCATGTTTAAAAATATTGCATGATTCATTTTTTAAAAAAAAATATGTGAAAATATCTGCCAAATATGTGACTTTGTTTCGATTAAGATAATTTGCAAATAGTGTCTTCATGTTTCGATATGTTCTGAAACATATTTACGTAACTTCTCCGTAAAATATCGCTCAACATGTTCTTCAGTTATGATCTGCTAGATTTATTACCAACTATCGTTACTATAATCTTTTTGCTTAATTCCTCATCTCTTTTTATTATAAACTTACTTTATGATTCTTACCATCACTGTTTATAAATGTATAATAAACTAATCTTCTTTTAAACAGAGTTCCTTAAGTCCTTAAGAAACTGTAATGGTGACAGCAATACTAAGAAGGTAAAATATATGTAATTACTTTTATATTCACCACAACATTCAGCAATCAGTTTTAATAA